AAAAATTCTCTCTCTCTCTCTCCCCCTCTCCCTCTCTCACTCTATCTTAAAAAAAAAATTATATTTCTTGCCAGGCATAATGGCACACACCTGTAATCCCAGCAGCTCAGGAGGCTGAGACCAGAGGATCATGAGTTCAAAACCAGCCTCGGCAATGGCAAAATATTAAGCAACTCAGTGAGACCCTGTCTCTAAATAAAATTCAAAATAGGGCTGGAGATGTGGCTCAGTGGTTGAGTGCTCCTAAATTCAATTCCTAGTACCAAAAAAATAAAAAGTTTCTTGGTTCATAACTATTATACAAACTAAATATGTTCTTATTCTTGTCAATTTCATTTTGTATTTTCCCTGTAAACTTTATAACTATTGTCTGTTAATGCCTTACAGAGGCACAACTTCTAATATAACAACCTGAGTTAATTTGAGATAAGGCCATCATCTATAGGACTGACAAGATGGGCTAACTTCTAGTACTAATACTGACCCAGTTAAATGGAAGGAGTAAATAAGTGTAAAGTTAGAGTCATTAAAGTTAAAACCCAGTTCTCATACTTTAAGTGTGATCAAACTGGCCTGCTAGATATTAGAAAATTATATTATAAAAATTATATTTTGGAAACCAAAACTTGGAGATTAAAGATAAGGAAATAAAAGTGCCAAGAAAGAAAACAACCAATATTTGGCTCTTGCTCTCTGAAGTCAGCTTGAACCTAAGGACTGAGGGGACTTCTTTCTCTAAGGCACTGGGTTTGATTCTCAGCACCTCATATAAATAAATAAAGGTCCATTGACAAGTAAAAAAAGTTTTAAAGAACCCAAAAATCTTCCTAACCTCCCACATAGGCAGGCTTTATCTGTGTCTGCTAGTTTGATTATCTAGCCCTAAGTGACATAAATAAAGCGATCTCTACTAAACACAGGTCATGCCAATAGAAAGGTACTTTAAAAATTTAGATGACTTTAGATATCTTAGCTACATCTTATGGGGGCATCTATGACATTATAAAAACTAAGGGTGTGTTTGTATTCCTGATAACACTGACAGATAACTAATATCCTGAAGATTTGCACTCCCAAGTAGAGGCCAAGTCCTCACTGGCCTTGCCATGGGAACAACTTCTTAGCTCTTAAACCTCCTGGTGAAGAAAATGTGCTGGCCTCTCTTACCCAATCACCATATTCACTTATTTTACACTAATCTCATCTAGAACCCATGTCTTCTTGTTCCTCTCATAGAAGTGCCCACCTCCCAGATGACTTTACAACCTGTTCTTTTTGAACCAGACTTTTACCCTGGACCTTTCAACTGACCCCAAATAGTCCTAAAAGGGAAACCCAAACTGCTTGCTCCATGTCGCTCCCTCCCGGCCTGAAGAAGCCAGAGTGGTCATCACCCATTTCTCCTTACAGCAGTAATGGTTCCTTTGATAGGAGAGGGGATGAGATAAGGGCAGAAGACAGGCAGTCAGCCTGGAGAATGGAGGACTGGGCTGGAAAGATGGGGGCCGATCACCAACAAAAAGGAAATGGAAGGCTAACACCTCAGAGCACGTCCCTGCTCTCAACTGTTACCCACCCCTCCAGGAATAGCTCCTCCCAACAGGAGGAGTGGCCAGTGAGCATCCCCAGGGGGCTCTTTTCCTGCCTTTTGGTCACATAGGCAAGATAGGAAGTAGGGGAGGAAAGGAAACCTGAGATCTATAAAGAGGCAAGGCACACACCCCTCCCAGAGACACCAGCTCTGGTCCTGCCTTCTTTCCAGGGAAGTCTAGCTCTGTCTCCAAGGAAGTCCAGCTTTTCTCTGGTGTTGAATCGTCAACACCGGGGGAATGAGGACCCGATCCTGTTTTTCCAGACCTGCATCAACCCTGGAATTCTCTTCATAATGCTTACACTGTTTGCAAGTACACATTCATTTGCAAGATAATTTGTACTCCTCTTTTGGGAAAAAAAAAAAAAAGTCCATTTCAGTTGACTTTTGAACTATTGCACCAATGCTGAATCCCTTGCAGCTACTGTAGAGAGAGACGGTCCCCCTGGAGGGCTGGTTGCCCTCACCCCCTTGACTTTCATAGAAAGGATTAGGACCAGGATCTCCCGGCCAAAGTAAAATCTAGAAAAGCAGAAACTGGCAACATACCCTCATACCCTCAGTACAAACACGCACTGGTTTCTACATCATGACCATGTGGGCATCATCTGCTCAGATCCATGTCCACCTCCTGTCTTCACGAGGGCAGGGACCACACCACCCTGGCTCTTGGTACAATGACCTTTGTGGAGTGGAAGCCCCCCAGCCCTTGCCACCATTCTTGCTTCTGGGGAAGTAAAGCCGCCAGCTGACCCCCCGACACGCTCTTGCACCCACAGGCCCACCTGGAGGGCACGGGAATCGGGAATGGGGCGCCCTCTGCTCCTCGTTCCTAGGATAGAAGCACTCACTGAGCATGAGGGGGGCAGGAACCAGCCTCAGAGGGGGCCTCCGAGCTGGGCATCAAAGAAGGGCAGGCATTCCCCTGAGGGGCACACTGAGACAGAGGGAAGGACAGGAGCAAGGGCAGAGATGCCAGCGAGGTCAGTGTGTCTAGGAAGCTGGGGCAAGCAGAGGCCAAGGCCCCAAGGGTTCAGGGGCAGACTGAGGGTGGGTGGGGTCTGCCCTTGGTCTTCTGGTGATAGGGAGCCACTGAAAGTCTCAGAGTTGGGGAGCGGCATGGCACATCTGAGTCCTGGCACAACCTCTCCTCCTTGGAGAGAAGCACAGATATATCTTGCTGTAAAAAACTTTGCATGGGGCTGGGGATGTAGCTCAAGCAGTAGCGCGCTCACCTGGTATGGGCGGGGCGCTGGGTTCGATCCTCAGCACCACATACAAATAAAATAAAGATATTGTGTCCACCGAAAACTAAAAAATAAATATTAAAAAATTCTCTCTCTCTCAAAAAAAAAACAAAAAACTTTGCATGAAGAAGATGCTCGCTAAATATTGGCTAACCACACAGATCAGTGACTAAATATTGTCAACTGTCCTGCTGTCCTATTTGTCCAACATTTTAAAAAACAAATTATGAAGGCATAAAACAGCTAAACTTTTCTGTGATCATATCTTTCTTTTCATTTTAAAATACTTCCATCTTACAATAATAAAATCTTTAGCTGGCATTTAAAAAAAAAAAATCTCTCCAGGGCAGTGAGGAAGTGCATCAGAGAAGGAAGAGCTGGAGTGTGGCTCAGCAGCAGAGTGCTCGCCTAGCACATGTGAGGCCCTGGGTTCAATCCTCAGCACCACATAACAATAAGTAAATAAAATAAAGGTATCATTCCAAATAGAACTAAAAATTATATTTAAAAAAGAGAGAAGGAAGAGAGGAGAAGGGAGGGCATCGAGGAGGCCACAGTGAGGTCTAGGAGAGGCCGCTTCCAGCCCCCAAGGTTACGAATCCCAGAGTGAATTCACAGAGGGGAACTGGAGGACTTCACCTTCACCACAGAGCCAGGTTCACATGGTGATCAGCACCAAGATGATCACCATCAGCCTCCTGATGCCAGCCTGGAGAAGGACACAGCATGTACCTGAGCTAACCACACAGATCAGCCACAGACCCAAGCTGGAGGGCTATCTGCAAAACTGGCCTGCAGTGTGGAAAGGCAGGAGGCCAAGGCAAGACCCAGAAGGGCCCCAGAATGCAGAGGCTAAGGGTCAAGGCTAGGAAATACAAGGAATGCACCTGAACTGGGCCTCAGTCAAGGGCAAACAGCCGGGTTGGCACGGACGATGGAATCTGAGCGAGGGCGGGGTGTGAGAGGATGGGTGTAGATTAATACAGATTATTAATACAGTTTTAATAATCTAAGTGTAGGCACACTCATTGTCCTTAGAAAGGTCCATGCAACTATTTAATGGCATTCAGTGCATGTCTCTGACTTACCCTCAAATAGTGTGATGTGTGCACTGCATAAAAATACAGAAACATATATACACATCCAAGAAGGAGTGATCTATACATTTTATACAGACATATGTAGATAGAGAAGAAACTGTAAGGCAAATAATGATTTTTCAACAATAGACAAGTGAATCTTGGTAAAAAAAAAATATCCAGAAGTCCCATGTACTATTAGGGTAATTCTTCTATAAATTTGAAATTATGTCAAGCAAAAGATTGTTTTCCTCAAAATGTTAAACATAGAGTTCCCGGATTACCCAGAGATTCCACTGGGTATGAAATATGTATCGACACAGGGATACAGAAAGGTCCACAGCACTGTTATTCATAACAGCAAAAGGCAGAAGTAACCCAACGTCCCCACCTGAAGAACGAATAAGCAGCACAAGATACATATGCAAAGGAATATTAGTCAGCAACAAGAAGGAATGAAGCACTGATGTCAACAGGCACCAGGGAGTGAGCCGTGGAAACAGTGCAGAAGCCGGGCAGGAAGAAGCGCGTGTCTGTGACTCCTTTTGGATGCAATGTCTGGAATGTGAAGACCCATGAAGTCAAAAAGGAAGCAATGGGTGGGGTATTGGGGAGAAATGGGGAGTGACTGCTTGGGGTGATGGAACTGTTCTAACTGCAGTGGCGACGGCTGCCCGAGTCTACGAGTGTGGTGAAACCACAGTTAGACATGCGAAGTAGGCAAGTGGTACGGAATATGAATCAGTTCTTGAAAACAGAAAACATCACCCAAAAATAAGTAAATAAAAGCAAAAATGAATGAAAGGAGCAGCCCAAACAAGGAGTGAAGAGGTCTGGGTGAGTTCCTGGAGAAGGGGGACCTGCCTCTGGCTGCATGGTCATTCTGCCCTTGACCTTCCCAAGCCTCTCGGGCACCTTTCTCTGTCCCACACCCAGTCACCAGTCTGGCTCTCTTTTGACCGTGAGCACCCTCCCTGTCCTCTCTCCCTCCAGCACAGTGAGGCCCGTGGGTGGAGACTCCCTTTCCGAGGACCGCTGTGCTGTGACCGCCCCGAGCCCGTTGCCATCGCCAGCTGCACTCACCTCCGGCTGAAGGCCAGGTCCATGACTCTCCGCTGCTTGTGCCAACGCTCATAGTCACATTCGGACACCAAGCCCTGGCCAAATAGTCTGTGGGAGACAGAAACTTGATGCAAGACCAGGGTGTGTAGACAGTAACCGTGTGGTGTGCATGGGTCACCTGTGGGGCTGTGAGAAGGTGCTGGGACATACCGTGAGTGCACCAATTGTGCCACAATAAAAATGTGTAGCGCTCAGGTACTAGGCATGGCCTGTCACCCCACAAGTGCCACAATATCACACATCTATTAGAAATAAGACTCGGGATTGTGTGTCCCAACCTTCACAACCCCACACTCCCAGGAAAGAGCCAATGACAAGAGCAAGGACAGCATGCACAGACATCCCCTGTGCCTGCCTGCCAGTGCCACCTCAGCCCTAGGGAGTCCCTGTGCTCCCAGCGGAGGCCCTCCCGCCCCTCAGCTCCTTACCTCTCACCAAACACAGTCTGGATGGCGCGGTACATCTTGGAGTCCTTGTTGTACTTGGTTGACATCAGGAACTTCTAAACATCCCCAAAAAACCAACGTAAGCTGAGGTACCCATGAGAGGCTGCAAAGGGCCCTCCTGAAACATGCCCCAGAGCCTTGGCATCGGCTGAGCGCCAGCCCTGGTGGGAAGCTCCACACACAGCATCTCTCGGAAGCCCCCATCCATTCAATGAGGAGGGCAGTCTTGAGGCCACAGCAACGCCTGGGGACGGGGGATGAGGGAAAGGGGGTCCAGAGGGGCTGAGCTATCTTCCATCCCAGCTGTGGGGTTCCTCACTCCAATGCCACACTCAGGACCCCACGCTACCCCGCCTTCCCGAGCAGCCCAACGGAAGGCGCAGGCTGCTCTGAACCCAGGGTGGGAAGGGGAGAGGCCTGGGGGGCTTCAGGACACAGGAGAGACACTGGCACAGATTCAGACTTGCAGCCCCAAGCAGCCCCAGAGGCCGAGGAAAACCTCCTGGAGGCACAGCCAGCTTGTCCCCAGAAGCTGGCTGGTAGCCATGGCAACATTAGCCAGCAGCTGGGCGGCAGCACAGGCCAGTGGTGAGCAGCGTGGGCCCGGATCTGCCAGTCTGAACTGGGATCTGGGCCAGCATCCCTGCACGAATGCTGTGGACTCCATGACCCTGGCTGGGTTACTCACGTCCCCTGCCCCTCAGTGTGCCTGTCTTATAAGATGGGCTAAGAGTGCCTGCCCGCTGAGGCTGCTGAGCAGGGAACTGGGTGTGCAGGTGGGGTGCTCAGCATGCGCCAGGTGTGCACCAGCACCGTGTGGCTCACCCTCAGACACAGGTCGCGGAGCTGAGGGTTAGAACTGGCCACGGTCACACTCATGGAGGACACGGGACTTGAACTCAGGCAAGTTGCTGCAGGGCAGGTGAGAAAGGCTGGCGTGTGGCTGAGGGCAGTAGGGGCCAGGCACATTCCACAGAGGGGTGTGGAGTGGGGAGGGGTGTGGACGCCACAGAGCCTGGACCCCGAGAGCTGCCCTCTCCGATGCCAAGCTTTGCCCTGTGGGCACCAGGAGGCAGTCAGGCTGCTTCTCTACCGGAAATCAACCCAGGGCTGCTACCTTCTGTAATTCTAGCTCCTGGGGTGGAATGCTGATTTTTTTAGCTGAAAGAAAACCCCAGAGATGACTGACTTCACATAAAGAGCCATATCCCAGGAACCCTGAGCCCACCCCAAACACTGTCATTTATAAGCTGAGCTCTGTCATCAACCCCTCTGTCACCAGGAGGAAGACACCAATAAAAGCCCACCTCCTGTCCCTGCTCAAAGGTCCCTGAGCACCTGAGGTCCACGGCCCATCCAAATCTGAACCAGTCCCTGCTGCCAGGGCAGGACAGCTTCAGCATGAGCTCCAATCAACGTCCCCACAGCCTGGCGCCTCCCAGGGCCTGCTGTCCTCGGGCTAGGGACCCTGTGGTTGCCCGCTGAGCAGAGCTCTGGGCCGGGGCATGCTCAGGAAGGCATGAGCTCTTTTTGCCTCTTCTCTGATGCACACCAGCCCAGGAGGCAGTAAGGGTTCCAGACCTGCCTCCTGCCAGATCAGAAAACAGGGCAGAAATGTGTGACACGTCTGTTTTCCGACACCATTTTGAGACAAGCAGGACAGGACTGTGAACCAAAGGAGGGAGGAAAAAAAGATGTAGGCCTTATGACCTGGAGTTTACCCAGCTTTCACCTGGAGGCAATTCCAGGACAATGACACTAAAAGAAGGGACCTAAATACAGTCCATCAGCCTTGCCAAATTGCACACAGAGCTCAGAGTCCAGGAAGGCCAAGGGAAGCTGGAATTTATAGGACAAAGAACCGAGAGGAGCAATACCCAAAGGAGCTCCATGCATGGGGTCACCAGAGTGTTTGATGACCACCGGTACATCTGCTGGGGACTCCATGAGGCTGGGCCAAAGCAGATTCTGAGAAGAGGAGGATTATCACACAACTACAGGCTGGGCAATTCCCAGAGCTTAAACAGAGCCAAGAATCACTCAAGTACCCACCAGCCAGAGTAGACACGTTTCCAACATGAAGACTTCATTAAAGGCCCTAGGAGAGTCACCGTTTAGCAATAGGAATAACCTGGCCCTGGAGTAATCAATACCTTAATGCAAGCTGAGAAAGGATCAAATTGATCTGCAAGTTACTTTACCATCTGTCTGAATGAAGTCCAACAATTTTTAAAGGAAGAAAGCAAAAACATAGATTTTTTTTAAAAACAGAGTCTTCTTCTGTTGCCCAGGTGGGTCTTGAACTCCTGGGTTCAAGTGATTCTCCTGCCTCTTGAGTAGGTGGAACTATAGGTAAATGCCACCATGCTTGGCTCTTAAAACAAAATTTAATGCTCAACAATGAAAAATCCATAGTGTAACAAGGGTGATGACTACACCACTGCGTTTTACACCATCTTAGCCAATATTAGCTTTACTTTGCCGTGGTGAAGTTGTTCTTTGTCATTCCCTTCCTACCAACTCTGGTCTCCAAATACTAGTGAGCAGAATGGAACCTTGTAACAACACTGGCCAGTCGTCAATTAAAAAAAAAAAAAATAGAAAAGTCAAAAAAGAGGAAAGTCTGGCTTATACCCAGGCCTAGACATAATAAATGTGATAGAATGGTCCAGCAGAACTTTAAACACCAGTTGAAATATTATAAATATATTCTAATTGCCTAAAAAATTAGAAAAAACTTGGAGGATTTAAATACCACTACACACCAACATATTCAAAGAATCCACATATCCAAGAAGTTCAAAGAATCCCAAATAGAATTGATACAAAGGAGCCGGGCACAGGGGCACACACCTGTAATCCCAATAAACTCTGGAGCCCTGAAGCAGGAGGATCATGAGTTCAAGGCCAGCCTAGGCAACTTAGCAAGATCATGTCTCAAATCAAATCAAATCAAATCAAGTAAGGGCTTGAAAGGTAGCAGCCCTGGGTTGATTTACAGTAGAGAAGCAGACTGACTGCCTCCTGGTGCCCACAGGGCAAAGCTCGGCATCTGAGAGTACCTCTTTGGTGTACTTGCCTAGCATGCATGAAGCCCTGGGTTCAATTCTTAGTACCACAAATAAATAAACACAAAGAAAAGGACCCAAAGGCAGATCATAATTCAATTGCTAAAGTGATAAAGAGAAAGTCATAAAAACAGATAGGCAGAGATGAAGTGGCAACTTGAAGATAGATTGATATAAGTTAAAGATGATATTATCAATCCTAGGATGACCACTGAGAGAGAATGCGAAAAAGCCAATAGCAGAGATAAAACAGAATACTAAACTGTACCTGATCCAAAGAAGGCAGAAAAGGAGGAAAGGGAGACAAACAACAGACGAACATACAGAAAACAAACAGGAACACGAGGGACTTAAGCCTAACTGTAAAAATAATTACATTAAACATAAATGCCCTCAAGCGCTCCATTTAAAGGTAGAGACTATCATACTGTATACAACCACAAGAACTCAACTACGAGCTACCTATGAGACACCCACTTTAAATCCAGAACCCCAAGGGTTAATAGTAAAGAGACGCCAGGCGACAACAAGCAGAAGAAAGCTGAAGTGGCTGTATTGAAGCAGAAAAGAGGCACTCCAGGCAAAGAGCACTCCCAAGGGTAAAAACAGACATTTCCAAGAATAAAGGGGTCAATTAAAAAAAAATTAGGAAAGTCAAAAAAGAGGAAAGTCTAGCCTATACCCAGGCCTAGACACAGTAAATGTGATAGAATGGTCCAGCAGAACTTAAACACCAGTTGCAATATTATAAACATATTCAAAGAGGTCAGTCCTTCATGGAGACATCGTCCTACTAAATGCATATGTATCAGATAATAGAACACCAAAATACATGAAGTAAAACAGGTAGGACTGAAAGTTGAGACAAACTCATGACTTTGATTGGAGGGTCCAAGACCCCACACCCAGTAATTGTCAGAACAGTTAGAAAGAACTTGGAGGATTTAAATACCACTACACACCAAGTTGATCTAATAAACGTTGGTAAGACACTATTCAGCAATTATGAAATATGCATTCTTTTTAAGTATTTGTAAATGTTTATCAAAATGGACCATATGCCAGGCCCTAAAACAAATTTCAATGAATTTAAAAGAATTGAAATCACAATGAGTATTTTCTCTGATCTTAAAAAACTAAATTAGAAATCAATAACAGAATAATATCTTGAATATCCAGTAATATCTAGAAGTGGAATAACACACATCTAAATAATCCATGGTCCAAAGAAGAAAGCACAAGAGAAGGTTAGAAAATATTTTGAATTGAATTAAAATGAAAATATGACCTACTAAATTTGTATTAAGACAGTTCCCTTTAAGTATTTATTTTATAGGCTTTTTTTCCCTATACTTTTATTTTGTTGATTTAGGTTTTTTTTTTTTTTTTTAATATGGTACTTGGGATCAAACCCAGTGCCTCACACTCTACCAATGAGCCACAACCCCAGCCCTTAAGTGTTTCTTTTGAAAAAACAAACAAACAAATGATTGAAATCGATGATATAAACTCTCACCTTAAAAATTAGAACAAGAACAAATTAAACCAAAATTAGTAGAGGAAGAAAATGATAAAAACCTGAAATCAGTAAATAAGAAAATGGAAAAACAATAGAGAAAGTTGTTAAAGCCAAAATGGTTCTTTGAGCCACTCATTCATTTGCCTTGTAGACTGATCAAGAAGTAAAAGAAAACCCAAATGACTGTTCTCAGGAATGAAGGAGGGGACATCACTACAGATCCTACAGACATTAATAAGATGAGTAAATGTCATGAATGCCTTTGTACCAATTATTCTGACAACTTAAATGAAATGGACAATCCATGAAAGACATGAATTACCAAACTCAAGAAAAAACAACAACAACAAAAAATCAGAATGACCAAATGTCAATTAAATAAACTGAGAAGGAAATCCTGACACGTGCTACAATGTGGGTAGAACTAGGGGATGTTTTGAAAGCAAAATAAACCAATATCAAAAGAACCAAAATTCTATGAGTCCACCTAGATGAGGTGCTGCAGTTAGTCAAATTGATAGAGGCAATAAGTGTGGTGCTGGTTGCCAGGAGCTGGGGTAAAGGAAAATGGAGATTTATTGTTTAATGAGTACAGAGCCTCAGTTTGGGAAGATGAGGAAGTTCTGGAGTTGGGTGATGTTAAAGAATGCACAACAATGTGAAGGTACTTAATGTCCCTGAGCTGAACACTTAATTAAAACTGTAAATTTAGCAAGGTATGGTGGTGTGTAATTGCAACCCCAGCTATTGGGGAGGCTAAGGCAGAAGGATTGCAAAGTCAAGGTCAGTCTGGGCAACTGAGGGAGACCCTGTTTCAAAATAAAAATTTAAAAAGGCCTGGGGATGTGGTTTAGTGGTTGGACATATTTGCCTAACATGGGCAAGGCCCTGGCTACCAATACTAAAATAAATTATGCATTTTATGTTATATTTTATTTTATAATGCTTTAAAATTTAAAATATTTTTAAGTACACGACTTTTAAAACACATGAAATATTTATTTATTTATTTTATGTACCAGGGATTGAACACATAGGTATTTAACCACTGAGCCGCATCCCCAGACCATTTTTGTATTTAACTTAGAGACCGGGTCTCACTGAATTACTTAGGGCCTCAATAAATTGCTGAGGCTGGCTTTGAACTAGTAATCTCCTGCCTCACCCTCTGGAGCTGCTGGGATTACAGGCGTTCACCACCATGCCTAGTGAAATGTTTAATTTCTCAAAATACAAACAAAACTTCCCTTAAAGCCAAGTCTAGATCCATGGCCCCACTGGTGAATTCTATAGAACATTAAAGAAAATAGTAATACCATTCTTATGCAAATTCTTAAAAAAAAAAAACAAAAAACAGAGGAGGGATTACCACTTCCTGACTCGCCTTGAGTCTGGTATTAACCTGATACCAATACCTGACAAAGGCACTACAAGAAAGTAAATACAAGAACAAAAAACCTGAATCTAGAAAAATAAGCCTTAACATATCATGACCAGGAATGCAAGGTTTGTTTAATACTTGAGTATCAGTTGCCACACTCACATAATGCACCATACTAATATACACCTGCAAGTATCGTGAAAGTCTCTATGCATGTTCTTGGTCGCATACTTTAAAAACTCTTAAACAATGTCTGTGAAATTGAGCTTTTTTTGAAAATAATCTTTGACCTTCAGTTAGTAACACCATGGTTGTTCAGCCTGTCTCCTGAAGTGTGCCCAAAGTTGTATATTAGGGTTGGGGTATTGCTCAGGGGTAGAGCATTTACCCAACACATTTGAGGCCTTGGCTTCAATCCCCAGCACCACAAAAACAAAACAAAGCAAACCCCACTAACACCACCTGTTGTATTTCGCCCCTCACCGCGGCCACGCAGTGTCACAGCAGTATATCTAAACATCCACTCTAAAAAATAACAGTGCCAACACTAACTGAGCAAATGGCGTGTGCCTGGCATGGGCCCCATGGTTCCAGCCCACTGTTCTAAGAGAGGCAACATCCCTGTTTTATAGATGAGGAACCAGGCCCAGAATGAAGTCACTTGTCCTAGGTCCCACAGCCAGCCAGCCATAGAGCCCAGATTTGAGCCTGGTTTGGCCAACTCCAAAGCAGATGGTGGGTATTCATTCTTTATTCCTACATGGTACAGACTAATGCCATCTGTCTTGGTTTCCTCATCTCTAAAATGGGGACTAATAAGAGCCCCCACCCCGTGAAGATGAAATGGGTCAACAGTGATGGAGTACCTAGAAAAGTACCTGGCACACAGTAAGCACTGCTTGAGTATCTTAGAAGCTTCGTGTTAGGCAAATCCACCCATATTTGATTCTCATCAGAGAGCTTCAAGGTAGGGTTAAAATTGCTGCCTCTTTAGATGAAGAACTGAGGCCAAGAAAGGCAAATCCACTACATTTTAACCAGATGGATCAAATTCCCAGCCCAAACAGGAACAGCAGAGTCCCCTCCCTCTCCGTGTGCCCATGGCAGTGCTTGGAGGTGGCCCCAGTGGTGGCCTCTTTCTAAGAGGCCTCCCCTTCTGGAACCTTGGGAGAACAGCCCGAATGCATCTGGCTCTGGAGCCGTCCTCCATGTCCCTGGGACCAGGTTTCACTCCCCCAACCCAGGGAAAGGGAGGGAGCTGCCCTGGAAACCACACCTTCCCTACCTTGACTGACTCAGGGCTTGTGACGATGACAGAGGTTTTGTGGAAGACGTTGACACGCACAACAGGTCCGTACTTCTTAGCCCTGGAAATCAAAGTGACCAGAAGGAGGCTGTCAACCATCAGAGATGTGCCCCTCAGCCCAGCCTCAGCCCAGGGGGTGCCCTACTGCCAGGAGAAACAGCAGCATCCTGTCCCAGAAGGTGCTCAGCACAGGGCAGGAGAAGAACCCCGTGCTGGGGGTCCGGAGGCCTGGGGGTGAGGCTCTGCTCTTGCCCAACCATGGCTGAGTCACATCCCCCTCTGGGCCTCAATCTCCATGCCCATGAGATAGGACTGCAAGACCCTCATTCAATTGCCTGGGAAGGTCCTTCTGGGAACCATATCTTCACGACAACTTTTCTTGGGAAGCCCTTTGAAGAGCGTTAAGTCCCATCCCAAACAATGACAGTCTTGTCCCCTGCCACACACCCAGTTTATAGATAAGGAAACTCAGGCTCAAAGAGCTTCTGAAGGCTGGTCTAAGGTCCCCCCTTTGATGAATGGCACAAGGTGGCCTCCATCCACCCTCATTCAGGTGTGGCCTGGGCCAGGGGAGGGTGGGGCTGGGATTTGTGTGACTAAACAGGATGACTTCCCCCTGGGGACCTGGAGTAAGGCAACAAGTGACAAGTTTGAACCCACCAATCCAAAAACACATCTTGGAGCACACGGCCACAAACCTCGTCCTTTTTCCAAAAGTAGGGGAGGTGTCCTAGAAGGAAACTGGAAGAAGAGGAAGCATTAGGCTCAGCAGCAGCACCACTGAAGGCTGTCCACCCCCACAGGACACAGGGAGGCCTGAGCGAGAAGGCCGTGGGCTGGCTCAGGACCACCAGGCAGTGAGCAGAAAGGACGCAACCCCGGTCCCACCAGCGCTAAAGGCTTCCTTGGAGGGGAGGCATTGTCCCTGGCCAGAGCTCCAGGGCTGGCACATAGCAAGGTTCAGGAGCATGATGTGTCTCGCCTTCTGACATCCGTGGCGTACTTCCTGTGGCGAGCACCATGCTAAGTCTCACCCCACCTGGGCACTCTGTCTCCTGGGTAAGCTAGGTATCATGAACCGTGTCATTTGTAGGACAGTGAGGTAGGGACCTGCCCACAACTGCACTTCTGGTCCCAGGGTGCTCCAAAAGCCTCACCAAGGGCCAGTTTATCTAAGTCTGCATGGGAGGCACTGGAGCATAGCAAGCCTGTTGGGTGTGACCTTGAAGCACATTTCAGGATGCCCGTGACTTCTTGCCTCTTACATGATTTTATTCCAATCATGCTCACTGCAGCATCCCAAATGGGTGACGATGAGACTGCAGTTGGAGTTTTCTGGGTCATGGAGCTCAGATTCTCCCAGGGAGAGATGGAGAGAAGATTAAAAAGAGGAAGTAAATAAACATGATGCCAGAGTGATGGGAGAAAAACAGGATACATACTGGGACGAGAGTGCTGGGGAGAGGGGCAGGAATGGCCATTTATACAGGCAGGAACATCTCTCCAAGAATGTGGCCTGTGATCTGACACGTGCAAGTAGTAAAGGATTTGGCCACACAGGTATTTAGGGAAATAGCAGTCCAGGCAACAGGAGCTGGTGCAAAGGCCCTGGGGTACGCATGTGCTTAGATAGCGAGAAACCCCCTGTAGCCAGAGCAGAGTACTTAAGAGTACAAGGTGGGGTCACCAAAGTTGTTCAGTGGACATAGGATGCCATAGGCTGTTGATCAAACTTTGCTTTGAAATCAGTCACATGGGACCACTGTAGGGTTCAAGCAGTGGAGGGATCTGATTTGGGCAGATCCCAAATAGATTCTTTCTGCTGCTGTGCTGAGAGTAACTGGAGTGGGACAGGGGACTGGAGTGAAAGCAGGGGCACCAGTGAGGGGCTAGGAGAGGCGATGAGGCCAGACCAGGTTAGGGCAGTGGAGGTGATAAGAAGTCAGATTTCTGACTGTCCTCAAAGGCACAGCCAACAGCGCACACTGACCACACTGATGTGGTGGTAAGGCATGGGAGGTGCCAAGGGTGCCCCGGGCTGTGGCCTTGGAAGCTGGGAGAGTGGGTGGAGCTGCTGTTCACTAAGATGAGAAGGACCGAGCAGAGCTCGCTGGGCTGGCAGACGGCCTCCTGCCCACCTCATGATTCTGCCACCAGGACCCCTCTGGCTCTGCTCCAGAGAGGAATGGGCCACAAGTTCCAGGAGGTAAACACACCGTGGAGAAGCCCCCACCACCAGCCCCGGCTCCCTCCACCTCTGCCGGGTGGCTCTGGCATGTTCTCTGTCCAGGACACTGAAGGACCAGGCAGGATGAGGACGGGGAGCTGACAACTGGGTACCCCTGGGGTTCTGGAGCAAAGCTCATTCAGTGGAGAGGCAGGAGCCAAAGTTCCGAGTTCCGAGGCAGAGTTGGCCATGGGGTAGGAGCTGCAGGGAGCGAGAGGGTGAAGGGCAGGGTCTTCCAAGCCGGGGATTGGACAGCAGGTTATATCAAATGGTGTGGTGCAGAAGAGAGGACCAACTGATGGCCAGGGTGGGGGGCAGAGGATGGCTGGGGCAGGGTGGCTGAGCAGAGGGGCAGGCTGGCCTGGGCCAGGACACCGACATCCATCTGCAAGAACAGATGGAAGACACAGGGTGGGCATCGAGGCGCAGGCCCCTGGAAAGAAGTTCTCTGCACTCATTCCGTTGGCTCAGGGAAGTAGGAGGCGAGAATAAAAGCCGAGTGTGTGGGTGGAGGAGAAGGTGATGGAAGTCAAGAGAAGGCAAGAGAGCAGACTGGAGAGTGGGCGGAAAAATGCTCTGGGGCAGGAAGTACACAGTGACCCTGGCAAAGGAGGCCCATTCCAGGTGAGTAGCCCTGCACCGACACCACTCAGCTTACAGAAGGATGAACAGACAGGCTGTATTTTCAGAGTAATCTAACATTCTTACTGTCAATCCCAAAATCTATTCGTGTTGGGGGAATGGTCTCATTCTTGTAGGCCTGTGTGACTCCAGTGGGTCCCCAGCTGCTGGGGTCTACCACCACCTGGGAAGAAAGGCAAATGTCACCAAAAGGTGACAGAGGGCAGGGAGTTGGGTAGGATTCCCATGGCCAGTCAAGAAAGGAAACTAAGAGCTATTCCTTCTGGTTCCTGCAGGAGATGCCAGGAGAGGACAGCAGGAGGCCGGGTGTTGGAAATAGGCAGGTATGGCTGAGGGGATCGCGCCACACTGGGGCTTTCAGCTCAGCACCCCCAACGGACAGAAGCCCACTTGCCACACCCCTGGTGATAGACTGGATATGGTAGGGCAGCCCAGAGAGATGGGGCGGACAGAGAGTCCCCCTGTCTGGCACTGTCCAGCACGTCCACTTTCCTATAGCACTGTGATTGGCCAGGTGTGAATCCAAGGTTTGCTATGGTGACAGAAAGCCCTGGACAGGAACCAGAGGAGGGGCCCACAGTGAGACCACTTGGGGATGAAGGGAGCCTACGCCCTGGCTGAGCAGTGGGGACCCCACCAGGGGTGAGAGCTGGGTCAGTGCCTCACCTGGTGGGCCGGGACGGCGAGTGTTCAGCTGCGCATCCAAAATCTACTGGCTGCACCACAGACAGAGCCCGAGGAGGGGCCTCGCCATGGCTGGGAAACACCCTGGGCAGCTGGGCAAGTCAGACGGGAGGAGAGAACCAGCTCTGTCCGGAGTCAAAGTCAAAAAAATGTCTTCCAAAATAAATAAAAACCAGGAGAGACCGTGCAGTGTCAAGTTGACACCACTGCACGCCACCAGACGGTCGGGGCTGATGAGAACATTAGAGAGCCGCGACAGAGAAATAAAGACGCAACCCACATGGGTGTGAGACAGGCAGGGGGCTCTAAGTTTTTGTCTGTTAAATGAATCAGTGCAGAGGGACATGGTAATAAGAGCACAGAGAAGGTCACTGGGAGGACATCCTGGAGAAGAGGGCCTCCTGCAGAAGAAGGTCAGAGGGTGGGCCAGGCCACAGCAGCTATAGAGGTTTCTTGCTACAAGCTGGCAAAGCCTTGGAATAACAAGGGACAAATGCCACTACTGGAACCCTACTACACAGACCTCCTGTCAATTACGGCAATCACGGTTCCAGGATTGAGGCTTTGAATGCCGAAATATCTAATTTGTGCTAGGAAAGTTTTCAGAACTTTCATCAAGCGGTTTTATATTTGACCACCAATCAAGTTGTAATCCAAAATCTTTATATATGCACTGTTCAGTTCACCTCCTTAATAAAGAGCCCTACAGTGATTATATTCAGCCTTCTTCTACTTTTCTGCCCCCTCCCACACACCTGTAGGTCACAGGTAAACTCTTGGTGCAAGAGATGGGGATCATTCAGCCGTAAAAAGAGAAGAAATATGCACACATTCCACTATATGGATAAACCTCGAATACATTAAGTAAAAGAAGCCAGACTCAAAGGCCATATATTTATGATTCCATTCATATGAAATATCCAAAGTAGGTGAATCTGTAGAGACAGAAAGCAGATTAGTGCTGGGGCTGATGGGGTGGGATATGAGGAGTAATAGCTAATAGGTAAAGGGTTTCTTCTTAAAGGGACAAAAATGTCCTGAAAGTAGTGGTGATGGTTTTATGACTCTGCTACTATATTAAAATCACTGAATTAGAAGCCATGCAGTGGTGCATGTTTGAAATCCCAGCAACTCGGGAGGCAGAGATAAGAGGATCACGAGTTCAAAGCCAGCCTCAGCAATGGCGAGACACTAAGCAACTCAGTGAGACCCTGACCTAAATAAAATACAAAATAGGGCTGGGGATGTAGCTCAGTGGTCCAGTGGTCCAGTGGCATTGGTCCAGTGGTCCAGTTCCCTGGAGTTCAATCCCCAGTAACCCCCCGCCAAAATCACTGAATAATATACTTTAAAGGGGTAAATTTTACAGTATGCAAGTTATATCTTTTTTTTTTTTTTTTAAAGAGAGAGTGAGAGAGGGAGAGAGAGAATTTTTAATATTTATTTTTTAGTTATCAGCGGACACAACATCTTTGTTTGTATGTGGTGCTGAGGATCGAACCCGGGCTGCACGCATGCCAGGCGAGCGCGCTACCGCTTGAGCCACATTCCCAGCCCTGCAAGTTATATCTTGATTTAAAAAAAATATGTAGAGATAGGGAGTTGACTTAATTTCTTCCTTCTTCACATACAGAGATCCAACCAGGTATGTAATGTTTGAAGCTCTTGGGGTTATAAGGAGACTGAGACCCATGAGAACAAGCGCAAAAACACGCATTCCCAGCTTTGGTTACTGAGTTGGAGAGTGCTAGTGCGCCTAACGGAACTGTAGATTTCCACCATTCAACCTTGAATCACTATTTATTGTCTACTGTGCATGTGCCAGGTGCTGCTGTGTTGGGATGTCAGGACACAGCAGTGAATGAGACAGACACAGGCCCCAGGGGAGAGACAGGCACTTAACATGAGGTTGCACAAATAATTTGCCAGTTACCATTATGCTGTTAAAAACTACATGGTGGCTTAAGGGTTTATGAAACAAATGCAATAAATCCAAGATCAGGCAAGGAGGGATCTCTCTGAAGAGTTAGCTTCTAATCCAAGCATGGAGGGCTAGGGAAAGATCCACCTAGGTGGAGTAGAAAGCAGAACTGCTCATCAAGGGAAAGGAGGTACCAGGAAGACCCAAAAGTTGGAAAGGGCAGAGACAACAGAGAGCCAAGGGGAGAACAGTTGCCTCCCCATGTCACCAGCCAGAGATCATTCCTGAAACCACCGAACAGAAATTCAGGCTCTAGAGCCAGCACTTCTGGCTTGGGCTGGAGACAGATACCTTCCAGAATGTTCATGCCCTGAGATTTTAAAAAGTGTGTCTAATACCATTGTTTATTCATTCATTCAACAGATATTTATTGAGCAACTGCAACATGCCAGGTGCTGGGTATACACACGTGAACACAGAGCATCCCTACCCTCTTGGGGCTCACAGTCTAAACGGGGAGACAGACAATCAACAGGTGAACAGACAGTCAACAGGTGGAAAGGTGCCTTCAGGAGAGATGGCCTCATAAAGAGTTTGGGGCTGAGTGGTTTGACACAGAGTGGTTGGGGAAAGCCTATCAGAGGTGACAGAGGAAGAAGCCCACCATGCCTAGGCTCCAGAAGGGAAGGGGAAGATCTGGTGGGGTGAGAGCCAGCTTGGGATAGAGGGAGGGCAGCAGTGAGCAGCAAGACAGAAGAGAAGGGTGCAGAGCTGGCCGGGAGAACTCATCAGGGGCCTTGCTGGCCATGCAGTGGACTTAATTTGGAACTGGGTTTTTTGGTTCTGAAGTGATGGAAAGCCCTAGGAGCAGGGAAATGACATAGCAACTCCAAAATTCAGCAACTCCAAAGTTCTGGTGAGGGGGTTGGTAAGTTGGGTGGGGACCAAGAATGGGACAAAAGTACTGAAATGATAACGGGTATTTCCCAGGACAGAAACACAACAAACACGAGGGAATGTAACCAAAGAGTGCACTTTGCTAGGTTAATCCTGTCCGAATCCCAAAGTTAAGAGCACCCACTTTGGAGTCAGGCTGACGTGAGCTTAAATCTAGGCTTATCAACTGTGTGACCTTGGGCAGGTGACTTCGCTTCTGCGCGCCTCAGCCTCCTGGTCTGAACGATGGGTTAACAATAGAGCCTACCTGACAAGGTTGTCGCTGCTATCACATTTGTGGGGCCCAGACGAGCGGCGGGCGCCCAGCAGCTGCTGCGGCTGTGAGTAATTTGTTACTAAGAATAGTTAGCGCCCCTCTCACGGCCTCGGTCTCCAAGCGGTCGCGCGCAAAGACCAAGCTGGACCCCCAGACCCGATGCTGGCAGGGACGCGGCCCCCGGCCCCCCAGTCGAGCGCCCCATCCAGGCCCCCGCCCCCACCCCCCGCTCACCTGGGCCGCGGCGGCCCGGGGATGTGCTCATAGCGGCTGCGAGCGCGATGCACGAAGGTGCAGCAGAGGCCGAAGGCGAGCAGGACGGCGCTGCCGAGTAGCAGCAGCCCGGGGCTCATGGCTCCGGGCCAGGCCAGGCCAGGCCAGGCCGGGTGGGCGCCCGTGCCGAGGGGGCGGGAGGCCGCGAGCGACTCGGCTGTCAGAGCCGCGCGCCGCCTCGGCCCCAGGCCCGGCGCTCCCCAGCACCGCCCCCGGCCGCTCGGCTCCGCCCCCTCCGGCTCGGCCACGCCCCGGGCGCGCGGTCCCCGCCAACCACGTCTCCAAGTTCGACTCCAGAGCTTGGAGCCCGCCCCCTCTACGCCACGCCCCCACTTAAGCTCCTCCCCGATCTTCACACAGCCGGGTCTCAGACCCTGCCCAGAGCAGGAGGTCTCCACCAATCATAACTTCGCTTCTGGCTCGCACCCCCAGACCCCGCCCTTCCCCGCCCTCTCAGGCTCAGGCTCCGCCCCGGCAGCAGCCCCGCCCCAAACGCGTTGTCCTTGGCAACCCTGATTTCTCAGCGCGTGCTACCCCGGCGGCCGTGTGAAGTCTAACGGGTTGGCTCCGCCCCCTTGGCGCCTCCAAATAGCGGCGTCTCTCCACGCGCGGTCCTAGGTCCCTTCCTTTCTTGCTCAAACCTTCTGGAAACCCCATCGAAGCCATCAGATTCCGGCGTTACGCCGACGGTTCCCAAGCCTCTTCCTCCAACCCAGTCTCCCAAAGTTGGTCTACCCAGATGCCCCGCGGGCGCCTCTCCTCGCCGGCCTGTAGGTGCCCGCGGTCCGCCAGCAGGCTCCAGCTGGTGACGAGGACCCCGCGGGACACAGGGAGGCCTGAGTCTGCGGATGAAGCACGCTGCGGGACTCGAGCTGCTCTCTTCGAGTCCTGGCCCCGCCAAGTCTCCCAGACCCAGGTTGCCCGAGCGTGTGGCCCCGGGTCCGGAGCACCTGGCGTTGGAGTGGGCATCATGTACCCTTGAGCCTCTCCCTGGGGAAAGCGAGGAGTGTGACCCAGGTGGCCAAAGGCTTCTCCTACTCATCCGGGTTTGTCCAAAGAGGCCAACTCTGGGCTTTTAATTTCACTGTGCCTATCCCAATGGTCACCCAAAGTGTCAGCTGTGGACTGCAAGGGCCAGGTGTGCCTACTCCTAGAGCAGGTAAAGATCTTCTGGGCTAGAGTGGGAACGCCAGAAGAGTTCGGACGCTGCGGGACTTCTGGGAAGAGGCCATACACTTGCCCTAGTCTTGGGCCAGTCCTGGAGAGGTTGGGGATTGAAAAACAGTGACCTGTGTGCCCACCTTTCCAGGTATAGCCAGGGACAGTAACCCTTATGGTCTGCGGGGTGATGGAGAAGGCCAAGCTTTCAGACGCGTGCCTTGCACGGAATAGACAAGATTTCCGCTCCCGAGGACACCGCCGCCTAGGCTGGTCCGGCTGCCAGGAGTCCATCCCATTGCAGGGACTTGGACCGTCAAGCTGGGGACGGTGACTTGCCACCGCGCCCCCGCGTGGCGGCCAGAAGCAGACGTAGGAGTGCACCGAAGACCTCAGGCTCTTGGGACTGCCAGGAGAAAGGCAGTGAGGTCAGCCAATCCCCACCTTGTGGGCTGTGAGAGCTCCAAGATTTGGGGGCAATTTGGAAGCAGGGTGGGGTTGCAATCAGGAGGGATGTAGATTTGTGCTCTCAGGTGAGTGTGTGGTTAGCTAGAAAAAGAAAAGTGACAGGACACTTTTAAAACCAGAGTTCCTGGCATCATGCCCTGAGTTTACAAAAAGTTTCAGGCTGTATGGCGACCACTCTGCATGCTTTGTTCCTCTGGAGCCTGCACAGTGGTTTTCTTGAGGACAGGCCCAGATCCTGAACAGCTCTGGGCACAGGCTGGGGCCCCATGAGAGGCAGGCATAGAGCAGCATCTGGGCACAATTGCCAGCTGAGCCCGTCCACCTAGGGCTGAGGGGTTGATGTTAATACTCTGTGGAACATCAGGCAATATCAGTGACCTCTGATTCAGCCCAACTGTTGCTCACCCCTGCACTTTTGTCCATAGAGAACCCCCTTCCTCCCACTATGTTGGACAACAGTCTCCCCTACCCAAGGCACCACATGTCACCCTGTTCTTTGAGAAATCAGGTGGTGGGACATGGGCGTGCACAGAGGCTCCAAGGCTGAAGGTCCTTTTCCTGGGCCGGCAGCACTGCCAGCTGCAGCAGAGGGTACTACCTGGAAGGGCCACCACCTGCCCCTTCACAGGGATGGTCTAGACCAATGTCATCCAGTATGGTAGCCTCTGTCCACATGTGGCTATGGAGCACTTGAACAGTGGCTAGTCCAAACTGGGATGGGCTGTGTGGGTAAATTACACATCAGATTTCATAAATTGAACGCCCAGAGAAGTTGTTTTTAAAAAGTCATTGATATTTTTGTATTTATTACCTGTTAAAATACTATTTTGTATGTTGCTTAAATAAAATATATTATTATAACTAATTCCATCTAGTCTTCTTACTTTTTAATAGGGCTACTAGAAAAATTTTAATCGCCCATGTGGCTCATATCATACTTTATTGAACAGCACTAGCATGACTCTGACTCTCAAAGTCTGGCCCCTAGGCACAACCCAGGAACTTGGTGGAACTGCGAAGCTTCAGCCTCTCCCCAACCTGAGTCAAAACTGTGCTGGAACCCAGCCACCTGGGTCTTAAGCTGCCCTGCATGGGATTCTCCTCAAGCCTGAAAACAAGCCACCAGTGTAGACCTGCCATAAAGGGAGTAGTTTCCCAGCAGGAACCTCTGGGGAGATGCAGCCAGGACGGTGGCTCTGAAGTGGCCGCCCTACTTGGGTGCCTCTCAGGCAGAGGGGCAGGAGCCAGGGAAGAAGGAGGACCAGGCCCTGGGAGAGCCAGCCTCCATTCAAAACTGCCTTGGAAGCCCTGGAGACTGGTTACATAACCACCCTGGGATGGAAAAGAGGGACTGTGATATTGGTGGTGGCTTGTGGGGCCACTGTTAAGATCAAATGAGCCGACACACTGGAGACATGTGGCATGCAGTCAGTGCTCAATAAAAGCTAGTTCTCAGCAGGGGAGGGGAAGCAAGCACAGACGCGACAACAAGAAGACCTGAGTTCTCCACGTTATTCTAAAGGAGCTCATTTTCCTCCCACTTTAAGGATTTCTTCCCGTATCATTCCAGTGCTGGTCTCCAGTATGCCCATTCCCACTCTGTCTTATACAGTTGGAAGCTGCCAGCATAGATACCACTAGATTGATCCAGAGCTTTCTGCCCAGGAAGCCGCCTGGAACATATTGGGCACATTTGCAATGTTACCTCTTTTTTTTTTTTTAATACGGTAATCCTGCTGATAATCTCTGTTTTCCAGTGAGGCTCAGAGAGGTTAAATGACTGCCCTAAGGTCACACAGGCCAGACTGGAACCTGGTCTCCAGAATCCTTACTCTTCTAGTCAACCTCCAAACATCTGCAAGGTGTAAACGCAGGGTACCTTGGGGAGCTGGAGGCTGTGCACTCCCTTTACTGACGTGGCTGTTGAAGTCATGGACAGAGGGCTTTTCCTACTGTCAGAAGAAAAGGGTGGCCACTCAGTGTCCTGGGGGCAGTTGGACACAACTGAACAAGGTACAAGCGATGCTGGGACAGAGGTTTGAAGTGCTGTTACGACAGGCTGATATGCTTTGGACCTGGTCCTGGATGCTGAGCCACACGGAAGCATTGGCCCTGAGGGTCCAAAACTAAGATGTGTGCCTTTGGCAGCAGCAGCTTCTCTAGGAGCCTAACCCAGGCTGCTGACAGGAGGCCAAACTGGGCTGGGGAGGTAAAGTGGGAAACTGGCAGGGCAAAGGGACCCAAGGGACTGCAAGGCAAGGAGTCCTGCATTCCACTCCACGCAGGTGCTAAAGGCAGCTCTCCCCTCCCTGGGCGTGAGTTCCTATCTGCACAACCACAGGGCAGTTGGGGGTGGGGGGGTGGGGGGGACTTAATGCCTCAAGCAGCACAGCAGGATGGCCACAGCTGGGGCTCCAGGGTGGACTGCCTGGATTCGAATTTAAATAATGGCTGTGTGACATTTGGCAGAAAGTAACCTCTCTGGAGTTTCTACATCTGTAGGCTGCCGGGAGGTGTGATCACAGCACCTGCCTCCAACTGTTACTACAGTGTTAAGGGAGTGGATAAAGCAGCACTTGGAGAAGAGTGCCTGGCATGTGGGGTGCCAGCCACCCACTCTTATCACTGCCCAAGGAATAGTGACTCCGCCAGCCCCCTTCTCATGACAGTGGCACTCTGCCCTGGGCAGGAAGGGCACACAGGGTTGCTATCAACTGCTTCCCAGCCAGACTGGCAGCCCCAGTGGCAGGGCCTGGCACTTCAGGCTGTCATACCCCTCTCGCAGACATAGCAGCAGTAGAGCCACAAGCCAGCTCGGGAGCAGATCTGGCTTCAGCTGAGCCTTGGATTCTCTCCTCCCTGCCTGGGGCCCTCAACTAAGATATTTAATCTCCATGTGCCCTGGTTTCCCCTCATGTGACAAAGGGAGAAGAAGAGGGCTGTCCCGAGGGTCGAGTTGAGCCACGCTGTGCCACCTCTACAACCAGGCCTGGCTCACAGGCCACACTCCACAGCAGGCCTAATGGCAGCCCCCACACAGAGACAGCCCAACAGGGTCAGATAAGACACAAGGTCCTGGGTCCTTGCCAGCCCCACTTAGCACAGAGGTATGAAGAGTCCAAGAGGTGACGAGAGGAAAATTCTGAGGTCCTACATTAAATTAATAAGGGCAGGAAGATGGACCAGGGAGGAGACAGGGAGTGAATCAGTAAACAATGTGGGAGAGCAGGACTCTGACCCTGGTCTCTAAACACCAGAATCCACTTCAATCGACAGGAAAAGACCTTCCTCAACTATTAGCCTCAACCAATCCCTAAGTACCAAGCATTTGTGCTTAATGGACCACTCGCCAATGCCAGCCCACCCACCGCTGCCTTCAGCTTATCCCCGCTTTATCAATAGCCAACCAAAGCTCAGTGTATACAACCTGTGCCGCCCGGACTGCATTACCAGGACCCTCCCTCCCGAGTGAGGCTACAGCCTCTACCCGGCCAGCCTTGCTGCTGGTGGCTGCACAGCTCTGCACCTGAACCTGGTCCCTCCTGTCTTCTGTCCTTCATTTCTTTAACAGCTCAGGAAGCTCTTTCACTTCAGAGAACTCCTGACCTCAGAATTTCATCTTTGACAGGTGCAATGGCTCACACCTGTAGTCCCAGCAACTTGGGAGGCTGAGGCAGGAGACTGCAAGTTCAAGGCCAGCCACTCCAACTTAGCAAGACCCTATCTCAGAAAAGTTAAAAAAAAAAAAAAAAAAGACTGGGGATGTCACTCGGTTCTAGAGTACTTGCCTAGCATGCACCAGGTCCTGGGGTCAATCCCCAGCATAACACACACACACACACGCACACACGTTTCGGTTCCTCTGTAACCAGGTTCTACCTAAACTTCAATGAGCAGAGGCTGAGCCCGGAGACCTTAACCCCTCCACAGGCCTAGTGCAGTCTAGAGCCGAGGCCCCCAGTGAGCAAGGGAGCCTGTGGAGGAAGAAGGCTGGGGGACACCCCTTCCCCTGTCCCCTCACCCCACACCAGCCTCCCGGGTAGTCAGGATCAGAAAAGAGGCAGGAAGGGGTCTGTAAACAGTCACATTGTTGGCATAGTCCTGGGGACAAGCTCTCAGTAGTCTCACTGGCCCCCAGCCTGGTGGCCCCTGAGTAGGGCTAGAGAAATCAGAGGGTCTTTGGGGTTTCAGAGCAGGAATGGGGATGGAGATAACAGAGGTGGCCTGATGGTCCTGACACAACCCTGTAAGTAGCAGGGCAGGGCCCCCCACTCAATGGCGCCCAGGTGCTTGGAGAGGTTGCAGGGGAAAGCTCTGCTCAGCATGGGGTCCTTCTGTCCCAGGAGCAGGAGAGGACAGGCTTCAGGGCTGGAGGAGGCCAGGAACTATCCTTGGAGCACCTGCAGGTGCTTAGCATGACAGTGACGTCCAGATGACCAGGGGACTTCACCGGTGCCCCCTGGCTAGCTGTCTCCTGAGATGGCTACTTACTTCCTCTCAAAGGGCCGACATGGCCACAGGACACCCGGGATCTGTCCACATGAGCAGCTTCTCTTTGCCCCACAGCATGCGTTCTGTTCTCTCCAGTGCCTTGGACTGTTGGGCCACTGGGCCATGCTCTTTGGACCACCATCTCTGAGCCAGGCTCCAGCTGGTCTGGCACCCTCTGCTCCTGCACTGCTGGACAGGCCCTCTCCTTCAGTCGGCCAGAGGTGTCTTCATGCATGCAGTCATTAAAGGACGGTGTTCCTGCTGCTATCTGGAGACTTGGAAGTAAAAAAGAGCTCTTCTTGCCCCAAGATCACACACTGGCAGACCACACCGTCCCAACACACCAGCATTAAGTCTGCAGAAGGCACACGGCCAGGGACACACGAGGGCACACGTGCACTGCAACACCTCACACAGGTCCAACAGGACAGCTAGGCAGATAAGGCCACCTCTTGGGACACACCCACACCACCCTCTCCGGTTAGATACGTGTGCATAACCAGGCGCACACTGGGCTGCCTGCCGGCTGGATGGCCAGGCTGGGTAGCCGAGGCTTGGCTATGAGTACGGGTCTTCGTGGCTGCACACAACGCCCGCGTCCTCTTGGTGCCCGCAGTTGTGCGTGCCCACACCGGCGTGCGCGCACTCAAGGAGGCTGCGCTCGCTGCCCGCGCAGCGCACGTCGTCCAGCAGGATGGGTAGCGTGCGGCCCTCGCCGAACTCCGCACGCTTTGCTGCGCGCACTGCATGTGCGAAGCCCAGCTGGCGACACACAACTGCGGCGGCCTTGGTATCCCAGGCATCGTCGCACACGGTGCCCCAGCGTCCGCCCACGAACACCTCCACGCGTCCTCGGCCGGAGCTCAGTCCTGCGGGTCGCACCAGGCGCACCGCGCCGTTGGAGGGCGTAGGGTCCGCGGTGCTCGGCCGCCCCCGTCGCCGTCCTCCGCCCCTTCGGCCCCCTGGCCGCCGGGTGGGCCTGACCGGCCGCGGGGTGGGAGTGCGCGGAGCGGCCGTGGGACGGGTCCTGCGGGGCGCCTTGGTGGGCCGTGGGGTGCTCTCTGGCGTTCGGATGAACTCTGAACAGAAGAAGGGCACACGGTCAGAGGGTCCCCTAGCCCGGCTCATCTCCCACCTGGCTGCCTCCAGGTGGGAGGGTGGACCTCAGGGAAAGATGTCCTCCGTCTGTCCCCCACTCAGACCCTGAAGATAGGGTGCTTCTGAGGGCACTAGGGGTGCTTTCTGGGTCACCCAGGCCCCATAGGGTGCTAGATGCTTCTCCAGCCATTCAGCACCAATCCCGGGAGCTCCCTGTTTTATGACTGTCTGCCGCTGGGTTCCCGCACCCCCAGCCCTGCCCTCCTGGGGGGTACCCATGCTGTAACCTCTGGGGCCTCGATGCAAGCAGTGCTGGGGTAGAATTCTAGGAGCAAGGGACCCTTGTTGCTTCCAGTCCTGGTTTTAGGGTGGAGATCCTGAAGCCACAGAGGGGCATGGACTTCTGAGGTCTAAAGCAGTAGGTGGCCAGCAGGACAGGAACTGGGCCCATACACAAACCCTAAGGTCAGGGTGACTCTCTCCTCCAGGTTCTGAGGCGCTGGCCTGCCACTGGCACAGAAAGCTGGATGGGAGCTCTCAGGGTGTGTGGCTGGGCCCACACAGATCACAGCTGGGGATGGAGGGGTCAAAGCAGGAACAGCCACCCCGTCACAGGGCCTGGACATCATAGGTCTATGGGGGACTGAGGTTGGTGATTCTCTTTGTCCTGAAGGACATGGGACATGTTGGGCCCAGGATGGCCATGGGAATAAACTTCACTCTACATCAGGCACTGTACTCTGTCTAGCCCTACCCCCTGCAGGGCCAGTGCCAGGCAGTGGGCACTGTCCCCTGTGACAGCCGTCAGAGGAGGGCTGAAACCTCGACTAACACAGTTACTACGGGGAGAATCCTGGGGCCACCAGGGCACATCCCGTTGATCCCACCCCACCTTGGCCAGCTGCACTGTGAAATCCATGGGGTGGGGGAGTGCTGAGAAAGTACTTCTTGGAACAAGGACAAGTGCAGGCCAGGCCCAAGCACCATGACATGAGCAAGGGGCCGCCCCCCCCCCCCCCAGCACCAGCTCTGCTCCACGCACTCCTCTGCTCCATCCAGACTGTCCTCAGGCCCAGCCTCTCTGCCCCCTGCCCCGAGCTCTCCTTCCTTTTCTCTCCAGTTCAGGAACCGCTACCCCCACCCAGTCCCACACTGCACTGGGCAGGTCCCCACAGGATCCGGACACACTTCTGCACTAAACGGCTTCTCTGTCCTAGCCAGGACAGGGCCTGGTCTGACTTCCTCCTGGTCTCAGCACCCAGCACAGAATGGGTGACTGAAGCAAGTGACAGAAACGGCTGAATGTGTGGATGAAGGCCTGCCACACTCAAAGCCACCTGCTGCTGGGACCCCTGAGCTCCACCCTCCTGCAGCCGCCTCTGCCCAGGCGCCCTGCCCTGCCTTCCTGCTCCCCACCTGGCCCGCACTGGCACCCTGCTGGCAGCCCCTGCTAGTCCCTCGGGCTGCACAGTGATTCTTGCAATTCTGAGTTAGTTGCCAGCAGTTTCAAAGTGTAATCTGAGAAGGCAAGGCCACACCTGCCTCTCTCTGTATACCTCCACGGTGTGGGCAAAGCACAGATCATCTGTGGCTGGATGGAAAGCGGAAGGTCTGGTAATGGGGGGCCTCTGTTTCTACCCAGCTAGGGCCCGGTGGTAACCCCTCCGGCAGAACAGCCTTTCTCACAGCCCCAGGCCCCTCAAGCCACGGAGGATTGCTCATCCCACTGTCCCTCTTCACCAAGCAGTCAAAGGGAACCATCTTGGAAAGCCCAGCCGAACACCCCACCCCAGCCTCCCCTGCTCACACACAGGTGTCCTCTCTGTGTCCTCCTAGAGGACTCTGAGCATACCTTGCCTGGCACAGCTGTTCCTCCCCTGGCTGTGCCCTTCCTGAGGCTGCAGCCCCTCGGACCACCTGCCCATAGCCTAGGGCCTGGTCTAAGGAGTTGTGGCCGGTCCAACAGACCACTCTAAAGTTCCTTCCACTTTACCTGTGGAAGTATGCCAGGCAAGCTGCTAGGCAGAGGGACCTAGAGGCCCCACTAAGGGCCCCCAGCATCTGACTTGGGGGTCTGCAGGGTGCAGACTGCAGGAGCTTCCCTCCCCCACAGAGAACCATCAATGGGCACTTACTTTCTCTGGGCACAAAGGGGATGAGGCGGCTCCTCACCTTCACCTGGGTGGGATGGATCTGACACTTGCCGGGTGGCGCTCGTCTGCCAACAACACACAGGAGGTCATGAGGTCCCACCCTGGTAACTCGCCTTAAGCGTGTCCACCTGACACCAGCCCTTCTCGTGGGTGGTGGCAGGGAGGGCAAGGGCCATGCAGGTGTGGACAGGAATAGCAGTAAATGGTGGCCAGTTATTGAGAACCTACTGTGTGCCCTGCAGGACCCTGGCACTCTCTGTGCCCCCAGGATTCTAAGGGCCCAGCCTCAGGACACAGGCACCAAGGTAGCCCACTGGCACCTGCTCAGTCTCTACCTGCAGAGCACTAGGTAGTGCCAGAGGCTCCCTCTCTCTGAGCCACTTCGGAGTCAGAGGTGGACCCCACGCCTCATCCCCGACCGGTGGAATGCCAGACTCTTTTCTCCCCACCCCGCCACTCTGACACCTGTTACCGTGCCCCATTCTTGCCTTCTACCCTGGCCCTCCAACCCCCAGACTTTGAGGATGGTCTCTCCGGCCTCTGGTGTCTGGATTTCTGGTGATGCCCAGCCTGGCCAAGGAACCTGGGAAAGGTCAAGGCTAAGGGGTAAAGCAGAGAGGAGGAGGGAAGCAAGCCTGAGTGGGAGCCCAGGGCCTGGGGCTGGAGAGAACGGCAAGAGAGCCGTGTGCCAGGGTTGCCAGGGTATGAATGGGTCTCCTTTTACATCCTTCAGGGGCACAAGGAAGGAACGGAATTCCATTTTAATTAGTTTTTGGCTGTTGATCTGTGATTCTTTGAATGGTACCCGGCCCTGTATTCTTTGAAGGGTACCGACCCCATTCCCAGAGTGCCCCACGTGGGCCCAGGACTTCAATAGGGTCCCGTCAGCCCGGGGTGGGAAGCAGCCACGTGAGGGGCCTCCAGACAGGCTTGGCAGAAGAAGGGACACAGGCTTCTCCCCCAGAGCTGAGGAAATGCAACTGGCACACACGCCCTCTTCGCCTCTCTTCTGGAAGCCGGAGGAGCCGCAGGGCTTCCCTCCAGGTCATGTCCACACACTTCAGTCAGGCCCAGCTGGGCTTTTGTTCTTTGAGGAAATTATATTTTAAAATCTGTTACGCAAAAGGATGGGAGTAAGCCCAAAAATGCCACCGTTTTATGTCTGGGCACGGTGAGGTGACGCAACCCCACCCCCTCCCCTACTGGCTCTTCATTTTCCGAATGTTCAGTGCCGGACCCCTCTGGAGTCCGGGTGGCTGCAATAAAATACATTTAGCCAGCCCGGTGCGGACGGAGGTGCACACCTGTAATCTCAGAAACTAGGGAGGCTGGGGCAGGAGGATTCCGAGTTCAAGCCCGTCCTGGGTAACTTCGCAAATATAAAAAAAAAGGCTGGGAATGTAGCCAAGTGGTAGAGACCCCGGGGTTCAATCCCCAGAACCAAACAACAACAGCCACAAAACATATATTCCAAGAGAGAAAAATGGAAGGGCAAGGGGTCAGGGAGGAAGGGAGGAGTCTTCCATCTGGGCTCCTCCTAACCCTAAAGCCCGGAGCTGGGGAAGCTGCTGGGTCTCGGCAGGTTCCCTCTCCCTCCACAGGGACAGTGAGCCAACAGAGAGAGGGTGTTGCGAAAACCGGCGGAGATGACGCCTTTAAGGCAACATGTGGCAGGAATTAGACACCCAATATATGTGATATTTCCTCAGAGAAGCATTCTTCTTAAAAAAAAAATGGAAATAACCTCAATTCCAAGGAATTGGTAAGACAGTTATGGCTCAGTGACTCAGCAGAAAATGACCAGCCATTAAAAACCATCCTTTTGAGGTTGATGTTGCAACGTGGAAACGCTTACACAGAATAGGGAACAAATGAGCGAAGAAGAATGTAAAGTTTGCATGTGATCCAAGTGCGGGGACTTAAATCCTGGCACCACAAGATGGATGTGACCTCAGGGAGATGAACACAGGGATGAGAGAAGGATTGCTATGTTTTCCTTGATTTAAAAAAAAAGTTATGTCATTAAATAATATATTTGTGAGATGATGTCACAGACCAGAGACCAGAAGCTAAGGAGACAAGATGACTAGATGTAATTTGGGATCTTGGACTAGAAAAGGGACACAAGAGAACAACTGGAAAAATCCCTTAAAAAGCCCAGAGTTTAACTAGTGGTGATGTGCCAAGGTCAGTTCACTAATGGTGTACACGTTCACGTTCAAAGACCACCTAAGAGGTAGTGGGGTGCACTGCACCCGGGGTATGCAGGAAACTCTGCCACCTCCTTGTAGCTCTAAAAGGACTCCAAATTTTAAAAAGTATTGTTTAGGTGCACCGGGTGTTTCGGGACTTTCCCATACCAGTAGGTCTCAGAGTTTGGGGTAACTAAACACATCAGGGTTCCCCCAGGGCCTGCCAAACACCCGCAGATTCTTGGAGTGCATCCTCGGGCTTGGTGGGGAAGGGGGTGAGCACGCGTGGTGTCACTCCAGGTATTGGATACAAGTACAGACAGCAGGGAGCAGGGGAGAAGCCGCAAGGGTGAGGCACTGGCTTCAATTCTCAGCCCCGCATGTAAAAAGGAAAACAGAGGTCGACAACTAAAAATAAAACTTAAAAAAAAAGCCACAGTCTTTGCTCTGTGCCATTCCTGGGGCCTGAGCTGACTTGTTGGGGTGAAAAGACACATCTAGTCCAGGAGATGTGGACTGGATCCAGGAGATATGGACCAGACAGACAGGTGGGGCACAGTCCTACAGCTGGGAGCTCCAAGTCTGGGTGATAAGAACTGAGAAAGATTAGACAGGCCTGGAGGGGCAAGTAGGTTGGGGAGGACACCTGGAGGCAGTGAGATCCAAGGCCCTGTGGCCAGCACAATGAAGCTTAGAGGTTAGAGCAGGACTCTCAAGCCAGTCACCTGGACCCAGCCCCAGTTCTTGCTCCTCTGGGACTCTGGCACATGACTTTATATCTTTGTACTCATTTCTGCCCCATAAAATGGGCAGCTGAAGCCAGGTGTGGTGGCCCAAGCTTGTAATCCCAGCAACTTGGGAGGCTGAGGCAGGAGGATTGCAAGTTAGCAGGCCAACCATTTAGTGAGACCCTGTCTCAAAATTAAAATAGAAATTTAAAAAAGCTCAATGGTAGAGCATCTCTGGATTCAATCCCCAGTATCACAGGGGCGGGGGGGGGGGGGAAGCAGTGGAGAATCATACCTAGAACTGAAGCCGATAGAGAGAGAGAGTTGGAATGGGGTAGTCAGGGAGGGTGCTTGGAGAGCCCCAGCAAGTTCTAGCCAGTAGCTCCAGGAGAAAGGCCAGGGTCAGATGGGAACAGGAGGTCAGGGGAGGCATCTCAGAGGCAAGCAGGAGTTTGGAGGATGTGGGAGATGGAGCAACCTAGGGAACAAGGAACGAGGGACATGCTGGACAGAAGGAAAGACACAGGAGAGGTCAGGCAAGGTCGCTACACTCACAGGCCCCAAACCTCATCTCCCACTCGCCACCACCTGAAGAGAGCCGCACTCTGGCGGGCAGACCTTGGAATCCTGGATCTGCACCTCCAGGTGGGAGCTTGATTCAGCAGGTCTCTCTGGGAATCAGTCTTTTCATCTGAAAGATGGGGATATGAATTCTCCCCACGTTGGGAGTGGGGGAAAGTCAGAGGAGTGAGACAGTAGGTGCTCGGTCTGCACCTTGCAGGGACTCACCGGGAGGGGTCGATGACCTTGTAGATGACCCCACGTGCAGCCGTGGCACTTGGCACGCCCGTGGACATGAAGTACAGCTCCCCTTTGTAAAGAAGAAGATGGCAGGTGAGTGGACAGCTAGAGTAATGTGGGCCAGCCCCACCCACCCCCAGCAGCCCTCAGGTTGGAGACTGACCCCAGCCTCAGCAGACATCGAGGGGAGCACTCCAGGGCAGCCTCTCGGTCCAGCCCCCAGAACTGGAAACTGAGGCTGGGAGAGGTGTCCAGATGTGGCCATAGGCCTCTACAGCACTGTCCCTGAGCGATCAGTCACCCTGCCTGCCCCCACTTCCCGCTCAGATCTCTGCTCCTGCTCCTTCCTGGTGGCTTGTCCCCCCACCCCCAGCCCTGGCCGGATTGAAGCCCAGCACCACACATCTCTGGGCATAGATAAGGCCCTGGAACAGCTCCCCACACGATGGCCTCCCAGGTGACCTGCGGGCACATGTGGCTCCCCAAGCCTTAGCTTCCCCATCTTTAAAATGGACAAGCTCACAGGGCTGCTACGGAGAGCAGAGAGCGAGAACTCAGTAGTGGCTGTTACTATTGCCACCTGGAGAGACCTGGGAGCAGGCACCTCCCCGGCAGGGCAGAAAGCACTGGGTCAGGAATCTAGTGTGAGCCCCCGGGGCCACCCGGAAGCCCTCTGTCTGGGGACTCTGTGATGGCCCACCCCCATCTTCCCCTCCAGCTCTCAGGTACAGTGAAAATGTACAGATCTGAGTTCTGAGCACCACGGAGCTCACTCTCAGGTGACATTAGTCCTCCTGTTCCCTGACCATCCTACCCTAATCCCTGCAGCCAGGCCCTCTGGGACCCAGGAAATGGGCTTCATTATTGCCATCTTGCAAATGAGGAAACAGGCTCAGCAAGGTCGAAATCACGTAGTGAACATGTAGTGAACGGTTAAGCCAGACCCAGAGTGCAGCAAAGTCTGCTGTCCCCACCCCACACCAATGTAGGATCCACGAGTGCGTGCGGAGGGAGAGGAAACCTGACGCAAGCCCCCCATGGCCCAATGTGACAATTCAGACCTCTGTCCTTGTAAGAGCATAGCAGAGAGCTCCTCCAGGCCTGGGGGCGGGGCGCATCCCCAAGGAGAGGCTGAGACAGAGAAAAGCATGTCACAGGAGACAGGGGCAGACAGGGAGGGTGCATGGGGGCAGGGTCAGCAAGCAAGGGCAGGCAACCCTGGGGATTCTGCAAAGGGGGAGACCCTTGAGGGGTAACTTGTGTAAGGGGTGGACCCAGCTGTGACAGGAGCAATGGCCCACCAGGGAAGTGGGGATAAGGGGCATAGGTCCACATGGGGAGGATGCCACCTGCAGGAATGGGGTCACCCTGGCAAGATGTCCCTTCAGGAGTCCATAAGGGAAGCCACAGGTTTGCAGTGTCATCTCAGGCCATCCACCTCCCTCTGGACAGAGACTCTGGGGGCAGCCCCTGTCCCTCTATCTGTGCAGCCCTCACACTGACACTCCAGCTCCTTGTAGGTCAAGGCTCCCTGCACATCCCCAGCCTGAATGCCCTTCCCCTGTGTCTTCGTCTGGCTGACCAACCTAAGGCCCTGCTCTGCCCACAGTGCCCGCCCTCCTTACTGGGTGTGAAGAGTCAGTCTCATTCCCCGTAAGTAAAGTGACAGGGTTAGACCAGGCAGACTCTGGGGCTGTGAGCAGGCTCTTGGACCATGTGCACACACACAGGGACCCTTCTCATGCTGCCAGGCCCTCCGAGGGCCACACCGCCCTCTTGATCTCTGTGGTGTGGACTGTCCCTGGCAGATACTGGGCCAGCAGGCGTCCTCGTTTGTAATTTTCAAGTGTCAGGAGAACTAGAAAGGGGGGAGCACAGCCAGGAGCTCTGCTAATGTCGCTCTCTAGTAGTGGGAGAGACTGGCTGACACTGGACCTGGAGCTGGCCCTGGGCTCCTGGCTCGCGGGTGCCTCCTCCTGGTTTTCTATCTCAGTGCCACTCAGAGGGCTGAGGAAGGGCCCCAGGGGACCGCACCTTCCTCCAGGCCCTGCATCTTTGGGGGAGAGGGAGGTGGGGAGGGAGGCTCCCCTGCTTCTGAAATATGTTAACCCCCTACTGACCAAAAGAAAGGGCTTTCAGGGGCCCAGGGGCCTCTCAGGGGCTGGAGCTGCCCTTTTGGAAATTCAGATGTGATGGGGGGATGGGGGAGGTTGGTTCAACAAAGGTTTCCCAGACTCCCTGGGGGCTCTGGCACTGGGCCTTGCAGGGACACACCTCCAAAGCACCCCCCCAACTGCGTTGCCTAGAAACCCCTACAAAGCATCCACCAGGGCCTGCTGGGGGCCCCTGGCCTTTTGTTGTGGCATAGTCAAGGGGTCCAAGGACAAAGGCACGAGACTGGAGCAGGATCCAGTCTCCATGGCCCTTCTTCTTCCCCTCCCCCTCTGTCCCTGCTTTGAAAACCCAAGTGCCTCAATGTGTGACCAGTTAACAGGCAGGAGGGCTGCCGTCTGTCCACCCACTGTGAAATTCCAGTGTGGCTTCACTGAATGGTCCAAGTGCATTAGCCATGAAGAACCAAGGGCCCTGCAGTTCTCTGGGGAGACACTCTCCCTCCGCACTCCAGATCCTGCCTGCAGACCCAACCCCTGTTAGCACTGGCCTCCCCGCAGCCCTGTGCTGGATGGGAACAGGGAAGACGGACCATTTCTCCCTTTTTCCAGATGAGAAAGTGAATATGCCTTAGGAACTGAATGCCTCCCTCCCCAGCACGCAGACCCGACCCCTCACAATACAGCCAGGAGCCCTGGGAGGGGGAAACCAGTCCCAGGCCCAGTGAGTCTGGACCAGGGGGGGGTCCACGAAGGCTCACCCGCCTCATCCTCTGCAAAGGAGATGATGTGTGGGTAGTAGTTGTTGATGAGGCCTGGGAATGCGCAGGTCTGGCCACGGCCCATGCAGATCTCACTGTACCGCCACTGGCCTGTCCCTGGGTTTTCTCGGAGGGACATCAGACGCCTAGAGAGGAAGATGAGGTCTGAGGTCATGGCCGGTATGGTGTACGGGAACACACCATCTAGTCATCAACTCCTCCACCCATCCAATCATCTATCCATCCTCCCATCTGTCCTCCTGTCTGCTCATCCATGCAACCAGGACCATTGTAATTGGCAGGATCCAGTGCAAAAGGCATGCAGGGTCTCTTGTTCAACAATTATTAAAAACTTCAGGAGAGTGATGAGAGAGCAGTAAGCGCAGTGTGGGCCCTTCTGTGCAGGGCCCTGCAGCCGCACAGGTTGTGTGTCTGTGAAGTGGGCTAGGTGTGATCTTCACTGAGCATCTGCCAGAGGGACCCCGGATGAACAAGATCAGCTTGGTTCCTGCCTGTCAGTTCAATGCAGTCCCTGGCCAGGTGAAGGCACAGTATCTCTGAGAGCTGAGGTCCACCACAGCTGCCCCAAGGTGTATGCATCCTTTTGCACTGCCTGTACTTCAGACAGCAGGCAGTTGGCCATCTTGGGAACATGCTCATCTTGCGCCAACTCCCTCTTCTGCTTCTCCAGCACCTAGGCATACTTCCAGCCCCTGCTCCCACATTGCCTCCTCTGTGAAGCCCTCCCTGATTGCACCTGCTCTGGGCTCCCAGCACTGGGCACAGGCTCTCTAAGGTTGCAATGTCTCAGACCAAGTGTGGGTGTGTCCCTGGCTTGGATGCAAGATGCTCTTCATCTCAGTTGCCCTGACCCTGGCGTAATGCCTGACCCAGCAGAGGGGCTTGGGAATGTGGGCAAAATGAATTGAATGTCTGAGACCAGAAGACTTGGGAGAGAAAGAACTGGTGGCAAAAATAAAAGCTCCATCTAGGAAGCTTTTTCTAGGTGGAAAGCTGGGTGGCCAAGGAAGGGAGTCCCCAAGAACTGGGAGAATGATCCAGTATCTAGGGCATAGGGCTGGGTACTTTCTCAGCTCCCGACTGAACCTAAGTCAGCAGCCTTCCAGAGGCAAGAAGTCCCCTTCCAGCCTTGGGCTCTGGATCTCCTCCCCGGGCACCTACTCGGCTGTTCTCCCCAGAATGGGAATTAGGGGCATCGTGTGTCTGTGAGTTTGAACTAACTTCCAAGTGCTGTGTATGTCCTAGTAGATTCTGTCCTGAGGACCCCCTGAGATGGTGGGCACTACTGTCAACTGCTTTTTGTAGGTGAGAAAACTGAAGCACAAAGAGGTAAAGTAACTGGCTCAAGGTCGACTCCAGTGAGCAGAAGGATCCAGACCAGGCATCTCAGGTGCACTTTTAAGCCTCAGCATGCCAGGCTGTATGTCACCCTGGTCCTCTCTGACTCTCAGTTTTCTCCTCTGTACAATGGGACAAGTTAGTCGTAAGTGTCCAAGCTCTACAGAGGACAGAGTCTGGTTCACAGCAGGCCTAGGAGGTGTGCTCTCTCCTCTTCTAGAATGCACCTGGATGTGACTCATGCCCTGTCCCCCACACCCACCCACACACCTGTTAAGTCTCAGTGGTGGGAATAGAGGAGGGAGGCTCCACAGGCCACAATGGTCAGGCCTGGACAGCAGCCTTAGTTCCCCCTCTCCTCAGCAGGGTCACTTTTGATGGGCCACTGCCCTCTGTGGCTTCAGTTTCCCAACCTGTGCAAGGGGCTTGGGGACCAATGCTCTCTGCAGGCCTGGCTGGGGTGGGCTGGGTAAGGCTCTATGGGCTCCCATTCTGTGCAGTGATGGGTCCTGTCTTCCCCAGGAGGAAGGTGGCCCTGGGGATAGAGGGCTTGCTGGTGTTGTTCTGTCCCTGACTATCAGAAGGACTTGTAGCTCAAAACGCAGGAGTCTCAGGAGAGAGGGAAAGACCAGGTCCCAGCCCTTAAGCCCATGGTCTGCTAAGCCATGACCTGGGCCTTCTTCCCAGCTCCAGTCCCTGTTAGGAGAGCAGGAGCAGATTTCCTAAGGGGTGACTCTCAACTTCCCCCCTGAGGAAGAGACCTGTTGGCCCACACCCACAGGGGGCTCCTGTCAGTGTGCCGGTGCATCTGTGTACACACACACACATATACACACACTCACTTCATCACACTCCAGGGAGCAGAGGACCTAACCACAAGTACTCAGGGCTGTGGGCCACCTACCCGCTCATGAAATCCCCGAAAATGTAGAGGCCATTCAGGTTGGGGTACTCGCAGCCCCGGTACACATAGCCCCCTGTGACCGACTTGCCCATCTTGTGCGGGTAGGCAAAGATCGGCAGCACGTCATCTGCAGAAGGGGAAAGAGCCCGGGGTGAACATGTGGCAGCCTGTTCAACTGCCAGGTTGAACAGCCCCAGACCGAGGCCTGTGAAAAGGGGACTGGGGACAAAGGTCAGCAAGAGACAGGGGTCACGAGGTCAGCCAGAGGTTCCCCATGGCAGGCAGAAGGAGGGAGGTGCTCATGGGGGACTGCCTGGGGGCGGGGAGGGGATTTGCAGGGGCCCAGGGCCAGGGGGAAGCAAGAGCAGAGGAGCGCGAGGGAGGGCACGGGAGGTTCCAGTGGGGACAGGAGGTCTCCTCGCACAATTCGCAGAGGGTGGGGTGCGGGGACAGGTCCAAAATGAAGAGGTGCCTGGGAAGGGTCCTGGGTGCAGCCCCGCGGGAGCCCCAGTCTTGCTTGGGCAGCCGAGGGGAGGGTTGGGCGGATCGGGGTTCGGGGTGCCTGGCGCGGGCTCACCCAGGGAGGCGTTGGCGCACAGCTTGCGGTCGTAGCACTCGAAGCCCTCGCGGGCGCGCCAGCCATAGTTGCGGCCGCGCTCCACCAGGTCCACCTCCTCGAACTTGTTCTGGCCCACATCACCGCAGAACAGGCGCCCGCGGCCCGCGCCCGTCGCCGGGTCGCCGCGGTCGAAGGAGCAGCGCCACATGTTGCGCACGCCCAGGGCGTAGACCTCTGGCCGCGCGGCCGGGTCGCCCACGAACGGGTTGTCGGGCGGGATGCGGTAGAGCGGGCCGCGCTCGTTGCGGTTCACGTCGATGCGCAGCACCTTGCCCAGCAGCGCCGACCTGCGGACGGGCGAGAGGCCGGGGTGTCAGCGCGCACCATCCCCAGGACGGGGAGCGACAGGGCCCGGTGCAGGGTGAGCCCCGGCTATGCGGCAGAAACCCGGGTGCGGTGCTCCTCAGCTATTGGCAGCTGGACAACCTCGTTCATCCTTTCAACTGGGTGCCAAGCCCTGTCCAGAGCACTGGACCTAAAGTCGTCTATTGCCATACTTCATGGCCACAAGGAAACTTTTAGGTTAAGTACTGTTATGATCTAGTTCTACAGATGGCAGCTAAGCTCAAAAAAAGTCAGATAAAGTGCCCCCCTGCCACCCGGATAATCAATGGTAGGGCAGAGATCCAGCCCAGATGGCTGGCCCAGAACCCCAAGCCCTTTTCCAGACCCTCTATGGAAGCCCAGTGTCCTCCATAGTGACAGAGGGTTCTGCTCTGCCCTCCTGTTTACAGGGTTGTGCTAGCCAGTGAGGATTCCGCTAGAAAATGACTCATATTTAGTTTTTTTTTTTCCAGGACCCAGCCCAGCGATCCAACCTAGTAGGTGACATCAAGTGTTGAGTCAGTGATCAAGTCATATGCATCAAGCAGAAAGCGTAGGGAGGGCTGGGAGAAGGTGGGAGCTGCCAGCAGCTCTAACCTCTGTGCAGCTCTGTGGGGGGGGGGGTAGCTTTTGGTTCCACTGGTCACATGACAAAAATCACATGGAAAAATCTGTGCTGTGCTTGGAGATGGTGTGGAGGGGAGCAGGCCTCTCACCTGGACTCCCTCCCTCCACCTCCTGCCTTTCAAGGCAGGGCTGGTGTCCTTTGCCCAATTGACACAACTGTGTGCCTGTCATTCCCACAAGAATTAGCACCCAAGTGTTCCCCCATCAGTAGAGACACCTCACAGGAGTCTTGCTAATGGTGACAAAACACTCCCCCAGCCCAGGGTCCCCACCACAGGCCTACCAGCTTCCCCAGCAGCTCCTTCCACGTGCCCTGAGCTGCTCACACCCTGAGCCACAACAGGCATCATGCCTCAGGATGCGAGTGGGCAAAAACCGCATAGCAGCAAAACAATGTTTTAAGTCCCATCCAATTATCCACAAATCCTTAATTTCTATTTTCTCAACTTCATCTCTGAACACATTGCAAACTGAGAAAGCTCGGATGATTCTTACACTGTCACATGTGAAAGCATAAGTCACAAATTGTGAGCACTTTAATTACAGTAATCAATATCACCCTTTCTATTTTGACTTCCTGGGCTAAGGGAGGTTTTCTCATTTTGGCTAAGGAAATGGAAGAGGCAGGCCGGAGACTCTTCAACATCCTCTTTTACATGCACAAGGATGTACACCCGCGTGTGTGCATGCATAAAGAGGCACAAGGGTAGGCCATTTGCTCAAGCCAGCAGGTGGGTAAATGAGGCCGAGATTATACTTCCGAATTTGGGTCTTTGTGAGTGACCCTGGGGCAGAAAACCCACCTGTCCATAGAGACCCTGCTCTGGCCTGCTTCCCCTCCCTGATCCATCTGGGGAGCACCCCATACCTTCCTCCAGCAGGGCTCTGTTCAGGGCTGGGCTGACCTTCCCAGAGGGTCACTGATGTCACTTATCAGGCACCTGTGAGAAACAGGCTCTGGGCAATTGTAAACCAAGGAGCCTCCCATGGAGATGATTATCATTCCCCTGTAATTGATGGGAACAAGTGACTGCCTGGGATCCCCAGCTAGCTGCAGGCTGAGCTGGTTCCCAGACCCTTCCCTACTAATCAAAGCTGTTTGGCTAAGAAAGTCACTTCTGGCTCCAAAAGAGTGCCAGAAGCCCCGGAGTGCCCCCCAAGGTACCAGACAACTAGAAGCCAAACATACTTGTTTTGGGCATTTCCAAACTTTCCGAAGGGGTCTCCAGCCATCCCGCCATCTCCGGTAAAGATGTACAGGTACCCATCGTCCCCAAAGAGCAGCTGACCCCCATTGTGGTTGGCAGCTGGTTCTTCAATCTCCAGGATTATCCTAAAGGAAGATAAACCCCCAACAATGAAAACTCAGCCTTCAACACATAAACAAACAAACAAAAAACAAGATCACAACAATGAACCCTCCTCTGTTGGATGTCATTTCACAATGGAGAAAAGAATGTTGTTGTTGTTTTCTGATACTGGGGATTGAACTCAGGGGTGCTCTACCACTAAGCCACATCCCAGCCCTTTTATTTTATTTTTATTTTGAGACAGAGTCTTGCCGGGGCTGTTCCTGAATTTGTGATCTTTCTACCTCAGTCTCCTAAATCACTGTGATTACAGGTGAGTGCCACATGCCCAGCTGGAAAAGACTTTTTATATCCTTTGTAACAAGTGATTTTCACAAGGACCTGGTAAGTAGGTTGAACTGGAATAATTTACTCCACATGTCAAGGAGGACCTGGAGGCTCGGAGAGGTTGAGCGACTGGCCAAAGTCTCACAGCCCATAGGTAGCAGAGCTGGGACTAGAACTCAAAACTTTGAGTTCTGGCTCAGTGTTTTTTTTTTTTCCTACTGCTCTCTATGCTAGCATCTGCCCTACTATAATTATGTGAAACTGTCCACCTGACCACTGGTTCAACTAGTTTCTCCATTGTCCTAGCTTCTCACAGCAGCTAGTCAGGCCATGCACACTCTACACACATCCCATTTGTTAGCTACCAGAACTTCTAAGACCTTGGCAGGATGCTTGGGCTCCACACCCTGCCTTGGGGACCTCCTGACTGCCAATGCAGGGAACTTCCCACTATGCCCCAGCCAGCCAGCTTCAGGTCAGGGTCTGCCGCTGGGGAGCAGAAGGCAGGAGGGAGAAGGCAGGTCTCTGACCTCTGGCTCCACCTCCAAAAACAGCAGGTGCAGAGCCAGCCACAGTGGTGGCTAACAGGGACCGAGGGCAGACACACCTGCACAAACACCTTCTCCCCTTTGTTCCTCCCATCCCAGAGCGGCAGTAGCTTGTTATAGCCACCACTCTCAGGAAACTGATCCTTCCTCTGTCCTCTTCCAGCCCTCTCAACGCCTGGGTAGCCAATTCTCTGTGTAAATTCCCTCCTGCCAGGTGTGGTGGTGCACACCTGTAATCCCAGATACTCAGGAGGCAGGAGGATCACAAGTTCAAGGCCAGCCCGGCAACTTAGGGAGACCCTGTCTCAAAATAAAAAGGACTGAGGTGAAACTCACTGGTAGAGCTCTCGTCTAACAGGTATGAGGTCCTGGGTTCAATCCCCAGGACTGAAAAAATTATCCTCCAGTTGAGCCGGGTGTGGTGGCGCATGCCTGTAATCCCAGTGGCTTGGGAGGCTGAGTCAGGAGGAGAGGATCACGAGTTCAAAGCCAGCCTCAGCAATGGCAAGGTGCTGAGCAACTCAGTAAGACCCTGTCTCTAAATAAAATACAAAAAAAGGGCTGGGGATATGACTTAGCAGTTGAGTGCCCCTGAGTTCAATCCCTGGTATCCAAATCATCATCATCATCTTCTTCCTCCTCCTCCTCCTCCAGTTGAAATAAACTTAAGATATTCTAACTCTCCAGGATTGGCTACTCACTCGCTAAACTCTCATTAATAACAGATAAGAAAAACCAGGATACAGAAAGGTGAAGTCACTTGGACCCTGGATTTGAGTCCTTCAGAGCCAGGGCTGGAAGCCTTTGCACTGTGATACCAATGCACAGCAGGAGGTGAGCAATACAGGACCCAGCACCAGGGCCTCCTGCGGAGTACAGCTCAGACTGAGGGATCCCAGCCCCAGATAAAGAGACTGACAGCCTCGGGCACAGAGGCACACACCTGTAATCCTAGTGATTCTGGAGGCTGAGGCAGGAGGATTGTAAATTCAAAGCCAGCCTCAGCAATGATGAGGTGCTAAGCAACTAAAATAAAATACAAAATAGGGCTGGGGATGTGGCTCAGTGGTCGAGGGCCCCTGAGTTCAATCTCCAGTATCCCCCAAAATAAATAAATGAAGAGACTGCCAGTCAGCTTGAGCAAAGATGACTGCTTTTCCCTGACCTGCCTTCGGCCAGCCAGCCATGCCTATGTCCCCCTCTAAATGAGCTCAGGCTTGAACAAATGATGTCTCCAGAAGACCCTTAATGAACCCTCACTCTTAAATATGTTCCTCTGTATATTCTGTGCTCAATTTAAGTTTTATCAGGAACCATTTTTTTAAGTCACTGTTGAAGGTACTTTCATTCTGCCCTTCCATCTTCCCTTTGTCAGGTTCATATGATAAATAATCTTTCATGGAGAAGTAGTTGCACAGGTTCGTATAAGATTATGAGCATCATATTTTCTCTTTTTGCTCCAGCTGCCAGGAAGCTCATAGTCAAAATTAATGCTGGAGCCAGGCATGACGGTTACATCCATAATCTCAGCTGCTCTAGAGACTGAGGCAGGAGGATCATAAGTTTGAGGCCAGCCTCAGTAACTAAGTGAGGCCCTAAGCAATGTAGCAAGACCCTATCTCAAAATAAAAAAATTAAAGAAAAGGGAGGAGGGCTGGGGATGTGGTTCAGTGGTTAAGTGCCCCTGGGTTCAATCTCTAGTACCAAAAACAAACACAAAAACAAAATCAGTGCTGTACAGCAAGAGTCACATTAGCTCACCAAGACAGCTGTCTGGTGGTCACTCGTCCTTTCTCTATGTTCAATGTTAAGATGTTACAGTTTGATCAAATATACAAGGTGATGTTACTTGCCTGTTTGCCCTCTGACCCAGGGCTGACCCTCCCCTTCCCTGCGACTGCAAACTACACTTCCCATGTTCCTTTGCTGGCTGAAATGGTTTAGCCAATGGGCAGTACTTTGCGAGACTGGAGTGGGGAGGACACCCCTCTCTGTTTCAGGTAGGGTCCTGGCAGTAGCTGCACCTCCTTTCTGGATCTAGTTGATCTGCCCAGGCCCAACATGGTGCCAGCTGTCACAGAGTGGCCCCACCTTCAGGGCTCCTGGGCTCCGGGAAGCCCCCCTTCCCACTTTGTCCAGCTCTAGGGGTGGAGGCAGCTCCTCCACTTGCAGCTCAGAGTGGCCTCCCTTCCTGCGGTTGCCCTTTCATTGTCCTAACCCCTGTGCAACTATTTTCCAATATCAGATTCTACCTGTTGGGTCTCTGATAAGGGGGCTATTTCCCCATTGTACCCAGGCTGGCAAGTGAGCCCCTTGGGCAGGCCAGCTCAACCCCAATTGGACAACCAGCTGGAGCATATATAATGCACAGGGAGCCCTCTGTGTAGGCCTTGAGGACCTGGGGGTGGGAATGGGTGGGAGCTGGAGGAAGGAAGTTTCCTGGAGCAGAGGATGCCCTGGGGGGACACGGAGGCCAGAGCAGGGTTCCTGCTGAAATGCTTCTAGAAGTGTGACCTGAAAGGTCACTTGACCTCTTTGAGCCTCCACTTCCTCATCTGAAAAATAGGACCAACAACACGAACTCCTTGGGTTTTAAGCGAACCACATGAAAGCAACCATCTCGAGTGCCTGGAGAGTTGGGGGAGAGATGATCGGCCTTGGAGGCCACATGGAGGGGTCAGGAAACGGTTCCATTGAACGTCTGGTTTCCAGAAGCCTCCCCAGGCCCCAGGGCATGTACTTCAGTGCCCCACCAGGGGATTTAAAGGTGCTGGGGTTTAAATGTGCGGGTATTTAGTAACCTCCTGGTGAGGCGCTCACACCAGGGCACGTGCGCACGCCCCCGCATGGCAGCCCGGCTCCCACCCTCGGTGGCCCCGGGGAAACACCTCTCGGAGCCGTGGTCCACGGCGTTCTCATCGTCCTCGGAGACTCTGAACTCGCTGATGCGGATCCACTCGTGGAAGCCGACCCCCACGGAGTAGTAGACGTAGAGCTTGCGGTTGCGCGGGGAGTCGGGGTGGAAGGCGATGCCCAGGAAGCCCCGCTCGTCGCCCTCCCAGGGCGAGGTGAGCACGGCGCGGCTGATGTTCAGGAAGGGCTTCTCCAGGCGCGAGCGGTCAGCCAGGTAGGCCCACACCAGCCCCACCTGCTCGGCCACGAAGAAGCGGTGGGTGCCGTCCCGGGCGTGGACCATGGCCACCGGGTTGCGCAGCCCGTTGGCCACCTCCTCCAGGCACAGCTGCAGGCAGCCCTTGGCATCGGCCGCCACTCGGCCCAGGTTCAAGTTGAGGTTCTCGTTGACCAGTAGGCGTGGGAAGCAGTAGTCCGTGTCATCCAGGGACAGGTAGCGGCAGAACTTGGCTCGGTTCTCTTCCAGGGCCCAGAGCTCGCGGTCGGGCGAGAGGTGGCGGAAGAGGCCCCGGCACGTCTGCCACATGTCCAGGCAGTAGTCCTCGCAGAGCCCCGGCACCGTCCGCAGGGGCGTGGAGGGGTCCTCGGCGTCATAGAGGTGGGCTGCATAGGGCGAGCATTCCTGCAGAGACAGGCAGGGCTCAGGGGTGCTGTGTGGGGACACCAGTCAGCTGTGTGCCCCGGGCCAGAGCCTCAGTCTGCAGACCCACAAAGGGCAGAGGAGGCCCTCTATTACCACCTGTAGCCTCAACTCCAGCAGCAACCTTGGCCTCATTTCCCTTTCCCTGCGCTCTTGTCCCTGTGCCTTGGTGCACCTGCTAGAACAAATCCTGAAACCGTCCCTTCTGCTACTACCTGCTGCCACACAGAGGCTGCTGGGGGCACCAAACCCTTCCAAGCCGACTCTTCACATCCTGCACCCGCCCCTAGATCTGGCAGACTAACCCCCTCACTTTGTGACCCTACTCAAGGGCCACCTCCTCAGATCTTCTCTGATCACCCAGTCCACCCCCACCCATTACTTCCTGGCCTATGACCTTGCTTTAAATCAAACAAAAATCAGAGGATGCAAGTTTGAGGCCAACCTGAGCAACTCAGACCCTGTCTCAAGATCAAAACCAAAAAGGGCTGTTGATATAGCTCAGTGGTAGAGCCCCCCTGGGTTCCATCCCCTGAATCTCAAACAAAAGGAACATGACCTGAGATTATAATAAAAATTAATTGGTTCCTTGTTTATTGCCTGTCTTCTTCTTCAGAACACGAGTTCTGGATGGTTACTATTATACCCCAGAACTTGATAGAGTCCAGCGCATAGTGGGCCCATAGGCAATACCTTACCCACCAGCCCTCTGTTGACCTTGATTCACCAGAGACAGGCCACATGCTCCTACATATCTGTCCACTGAATCTTCCTGAGATCTCAAGAGGGAATTGCTACTGGGGAAACTGAGGCTGAAGGCCACTTGTCATTCAGCACCACACTTGGGCTAGCAACACAGACCATATTAAGTGTGATCTCAGGTGGGCCCTGCTCTCTCCAGCACAGTGGTGACTGGCATGGACAATAAGCAAGTGTGTTGATGAGGCCAGTGCCCACCCCCCCACACCTGGTCCCTCCCTCCTGCCCAGGCACCTCATTCTCAGCTCCTTGATGAGACCCTGGGGCTGTCCCCACTGCAGCAGTGGCAGAGCAGCTTTCTATGTGATGAATGAATCCAAAACCCTTGGGCCCCTCCTCAGGCCTTTGGCCTCACAGGTCCTCTTCCCAGCTCTGCCCAGAGCAGAATCCAGAGCCTCATGCCCCCCCCCCCACTCAGTACTTCCCCACCAGTGAGATGCGTCAGACCTCATCAGGGCCCACGTGGGCACCACTTGAAATGCAGGGCAGTGAATGCCACGGGACAAGCCTCTGGCCACTGGGAGAAGGGCTCTGCCCACCTCCCTGCCTGAACAGTCCCAAAGTGCAGAGTTCGGCCGCTCCAAGGTGGCTCCCAATCACATTTGGCAGTATCCCGCTCACAATTGCGTCCTAGCCTGTCTCTGACCCTGCCACGCCATCTCCTGCTTCCTGGGTCCCCTAACCCTACTAAGACAAAAGGCGCAGAAGCTGTGGCTTTGCTCTGCTCTCTGGGAACCCTGGCCAAGGCAGCAAACCTGAGCAGCCTCTTCCCTGCGCCACACCTCCAGCGCCCACCCTGCCCCCAACCCAAGAGCCACACGGGGGTAGCCTGGCTCTCCCTGATCTGGCTCTGCCACGGCTCCTGCTCCTGCCCACCTTCCTCTTCCCCACAGCCCTGCCACGCGGCAGTCTGCTCTGCACCTCAGGACAGCTGCCCCTGGCCGCGCACCCTTCCCTCCCCACCTCTCTGGCAGGTCGAATTCTCCACATCCTTAAATAATACAGATGAACTAGTGTTAGAGTCTGTAAACAAGACAGGATGGCGCCTGGTATTTTGCCAGGGGGGAGTGGTTTGTGAGGTGGTGCCAGTGAGCCATTAAGTGTGGAGATTCCTTATTGGTTGACTGCTGTATCTATTTTATGTTAATTAAGATAAGCTGTGTGGAATGTATAAATACCTCTGTTGTCCTACAATAAACGGCTCCCACTCCTGCTGTATCAATGTACACAAGTTCCTCGTCACCCCCCCCCCCGTTATTCCCCCCCCCCCGTTATTTTGCTGCAAACTAGCAGGACAATACCAACAGCTGCGGGGGCTGGGGCTGATGGTGGGCCAGCCCTGTGCAGGGTGCTCTTTGTGAATCTACTTCCCCCCAAAGCAGCAGCAGGGTGTCCTCGCTCTGCATGTCCTTAGATAGATGAGGAAGCTGGGACTCCAGAGGAAGTCACCAGCCCAAGGTCATGTGCCGCAGAGTGTGCTGCACAGACAGGGTTTGAGCAAGTGTGCTGGACTCCACCAACTGGCTCTATCTACCCACCCGCAAGCCCCGGGGCAGAGCCCCGCCACACACACCACGGCCCCTTCCTCGCCTCAGTGTGCAACGGTGCCCTCAGCAGCCCAGGCTCCGTGGGGACTGCCTTCTGTCCAACCCTGGACCTGACCTGCGTGTCGTAATTATTTATTTCTGAGCCTGACACCTCTCCCCGTGTGAGCTCACCAGTCCAAGGCCCAGCCTGACTCAGCTCTGGGCCTCCAGAGGACTCAGGGGATGCGCCTCCTGCGGTGAAGGAGGCCCTAACAGCCACACACATCCTCCCCACCCACGGGGGGGACCAGGCTGGCTTCCAACAGGACGCCTCTGGGGGCAGCGGGTGACTGGCTGACCTCACAGCTATGTTTTCAAGCTCCAGTCCAGGGGCCACTCACTCCCATCACATGACCATGGCTTCGGTCAGCTATGGCCTGTCCTTCTGGCCCCTCTGGGCTGAGTCCTACCCGACAGGACAGGCAGCACCCTGCTGTGCACTTGGTCAGCTGCTGTCCCAGGCCCAAGCAGGGACACCACGTCTCACATGTTGACTCTGCCAACAAGAAGCCAGGAGCCAGGTCTTAGGTCTATGCACTGCAGTGTCTTTCATGGTCCCTGGAGTCTCCTGTGGATCAGCCAGCAGCTGCAGGTGGTCCCGGAGGCTCTGTGTATGTGCACACCTCATTCAGTCTTTGCAGGTCAGCGTCATTGTGACTCCTATTTTGCAGATGAGGAACCGGGACTAAAAGTAGACATGTTCCAAGAAGTGGCCAAACCTGGGCTCACACCAGAACTCACGCCACCCTGGTGCTCTCTCCAGATGAGCCAGGAACATTCCACTCCACAAGTGTCTCCTGGACACACACTGTGCCAGGCACTGTCCTCTACTCCAGAGACACAGTGGAGGGCAGAACAAACTTCTGCAAGCCAATCTGAGGGCATGCCACTCACCAAGGCCCAGACAGAGGGAACAAGAGGGCCTGGAGACCTTGGCAGTCACCAGCAAACCCTGGGTCCACGGCTGTTCACTCACAGCCTGGGTACTTTTACTTACACACAGGGCAAACATGGTGCTCAGAGCAGAGCAGTCAAGAACTAGGAAATAACAAGAAGCGCCAGTGACCACTGCTGGCAGAGAGATGATGAGGCACCAGGCCCCACAGTCAGTGGCAGAGAGGGTGGAAAGCCATGCCAGCAACCCACCACTTGGTTGCCTGGGCCAGGAAGTGCAGGGCAGACAGCCTGCCACCTCCCCATCCCAAGGTTGCCCCCGCGTAGCCACTGACACTCATGACTCATGGTCCTGAGTCCCGAAGGCATCTCATGCCTTCCCACTCTTGAGAAGACAGAGTCTTTGCACACAATGTCCTCTCCGTAGGACGCTCCTACTCACTCAATTCCACATCTGCCAAACTCCTGTTCATGACGCAAGAATGGACTCAAAGTCCTCTCTGACTTCGGCTCTCTCCCAGGGCTGCTGCCGGCCCTGGGCCACTCCCACAACATCTGTTCAGGGCTCCGACACAGCCCCCACTACCTTGTAACCCTGCAGCTTGCAGGAGATACTCTACACTTCTGCCCTCACCTCTCTACCGCCAGCAGTGGCCTGGATGCTCTGCTTGGCTAGGACTTCATCATCTCTTTGCATACCTGTCCATCCCACAGATGATGGCACCCTCTAGGGGGGCATCCCAGGACCCAGCACATAATCAGGCTCAGGGACAGAGGTAGCATTGGGAGAAGGGCTTTGGAGCCAGAGCGCACACTCTCTGTGCACTCAAGTGACCGTGGGCATGCTCCTGGGGCCATGTCCTCATCCATGAAAAGGGTAAGGAATTCCAACCTCACGGGTGTCATGAGGAATAAACCAAGATGATACAAGTATGTGTTGGGTAATTTTCCAGTTGGATGAGCTGGTAAGAGGTAACTGAATATCCCCTCCTCCTGGAGGCCTTCCTTCCCGGCCCCTGACACCTTTGTGCTATGCCCTCATGGGTTTTGGTAATCTTGGTGAATCTCTTGCACATTCTGGTAAGTAGCTGCTGTCTGTCCTGAACTGAACAAGGGGACTTTGAGGCTGTGCCTGCGACTTGCCAACTGCCTCCAGGCCCAGCACCAGCACAGGGCCAAGTCCTTACAGGCCCTGGAACAATCTTCTGAAGGCATGAGCCTGCAGAGGACCTTTGCAGATTTCCATCAGAAACATGATTGGATGACCTCAGGCACTTGGAGAGGGCACCTCAGTTACAGGGGAAGTTAGCACGTGGAAGGCTCATGCCAGCCATGCAGGGGATGCACATGCCATAGCTGGTCATTCTCCTCCAGAGCACACAGCATCCATGGGAGGTAAGAGCCTCCCTGTCTCCCCAGGACAGATGTGAGGCCTGAGTACAGACTGAAACCTGTAGATAAGGTGCCTGGGCCACCTCTCCTGGTGGGAATCCGAAGGTGCTGAATCTGGACACAATCTTGGCTGGCAGAGAGCAGTTCTCCTGCCAGCCATCTCCACAAAACCCCGTCAGGGAAACCATGCCCCAGCCACAGCCGCCCTCTGTAAGCTCACTCCAGACATGAGGTCACTCCCAGAGACGCCTCGGCTGGAGGTGCTAGCAGACACTCCACCATGGGTTGCTCAAGGCCAGGCAATCCCAGGAGGTTCCCAAGGAAAAGGAGGGGCCTCCTGCCAACAGACAC